TATATATATACAATACGTTGCATGTAGAAAACATTTCTGTAGACTGATAACATTAAGCCATTCGCAATGTTCGTTTTAATTACAATAAATATCACTCTGACCAATAATTTTTAAATATTATACCTATGATTTCTATCGTAAAAAAAGTTTTTCCTATTTTCACACGTAAGTATTCAGTCGTAGCTCAAAAATTGCATTAATAATGCATTTCGGCCGATAAATCAAACATTAGAAAAATAAATGAAAATTTGATCTTTGATTAATTGTGCATATGTATACATAATTAAACATTGTGCATTGAAACATAGTACATATATAAATAAATAGCGATAATTCTAAAAAATATTCGATTTTATATCTTATTGTTAAATAATAACAATTATAATCGCGTTAACAGAGAGAGCGTTCATTTTTTCTCTTGTGTAGGTGCTGAATTCGTTTTTTCTTCCGTTTGCTCTTGTCCAGAAGATAGGAATTGTGTTAAGTGAAGAATCGACAAAACGCTGGAAGTATAATTTTTTACGTCTTCCTCTGTAATAGTTTTCAATTGTGCTACAACAGAATGATAAACGCGATTGGCTGTTTTCGTAGACAAATGTCCGACTCTTTGAACGATATGCAAGATTTTGTTCTCCTCAGCAGAAACTGGATCTGTATTATAAAAATTGATAGAATAGAATAAGTGTTCAAATTCTTTTAGGATTAATAGTTAAACGTTAGTAACACATACTCGGTGTCGATTCTTCTCCATCGACAGCTGGGAAATAATGATCCAACAAACGGTCGATAAGAACGCTTGTGTTATCTACACCTTGGACAGCCATGCTACCAAACTGAGTATTCAGCAATTCGTTAGTTTTTGTTATACTTATTTCTTTTAACGCTGAAGCATGTAGAGTTGCCGATGTCTTTAAAGAATGAAGTTTTTCTATCGTCGGATGAATAGGACTACTCATTACAGCTTTAGCAGCGTCATAAATCTAATAAATAAATTATTTATTATCTATTTATTTATCATACTTACATTTATGTTAGATTCATCGAAATTCATAGTTTTCACAAACCTTTTGCGGTGGTTGCTTGACAATTGGAACTTTTTTTTCAACAATGTCGAGTCCTTCGCATAGTTTTTGATCAACGGCATTTATTTGTCCTTCAAATTTCTTTGCTAATGGCGCTGCGATCGGTACCGCTGTTGCAGTAGCATAATTAAATCCAGCTTCCACGTATTTCATAGCCCAGTTTACCAGTTGATTCGAATCTTTTAGGTAAGTATACGTCGATTCTGTTTTCTCTATAGCCGTATGAACCATGGGAATTTTTTTCATTCGATTTAATACCTCCAATTGTGGACCTGAACTGTTTTCTTGTTTAGTTTCCGACATTTTGGATTTTTTCTCTTTTCAGGTTCTGCGAACAATAATTATTTGTACATTTTTAATTTATATATGCATTAAGTTTTACTATATTAATATATAAATATATTTACTTTAGTTAATTTATATATATAAAAAAGGGTATAAATATTTTCTCTTTAAATATTTTTATATACTTTTACTATATATTATTGACTTTGAACCTTTCATCGATTACAAATAATTTTTATCATTATTTCTATCTAGTATTGTTTTTTCCGTGAAGTATATTGGAGATTTGTTATTATCTATCTTTTTTATTTACCACATTTTTTTCCTCTACCTTTCATTTTGTCCTAATTGATCAATACACTATAATTACGTCAGATTTTGAATAGTATTATACTTTGGACTCCTGTTATTTATCGTACACGTCTCAAAACTTTACTAAGACGTCCTTGATTTTTTCTTTTAGTTACTAACAAATACCTACATGGCTAGATAAATTTATATCGAATATGCATATACGTAATAAATTCAGTGCCGAACGATAATATTGACACAGATTAATTTTTCTAATAACAAAATCCTCTGCAAATTTGTAAAAAGTACAATTGTTTATTTAATTTTTATTTTATCAAATATATTGAAAATCAAAGAGTAAATTGGCGTACAATAAGGAAAACACATTGTACATTGTACATTGGCGTATAATAAAAAATAATTTTTGATAATAAAAAGTAGTTTTTAGTTATTTACATTTTTCATAATTTTATTGTACATCAATTTAATTTATATATTTTACAAAAGAAATTAAATAATCAGACTTTTTATAAATTTGTAGTCTTTGTAACAGAATTGATCGAATGATCAATCGACGTTAGAAAACACAAACTTCTTAAAACTTTCTCGACGAGAAAGCTAGACAATAATTTCATTGTCAATAATACTTTCATAACGCTTTAACAGAAGAAAGTTTTTTTCTTTTTCTTTATATTAATTAAATCTCAAAATAGTCAAAGTTGTTACTGCTTTATTTAAATATTTATCAGATCGATTATCGACTTATTTTATCGAATTCAAATTCGGGAAAATTATTAGTAACAAAAAAATGGAACAGTAAAATGCAGACAGTATAGTGATTTTTAAATGTATATTGAATGAATAGTTATAATTAATTAACGGAAAGAAAGAAAAACAATCGAAATCGTTGTTAGTTAATTGAGTTCTATTTTTAATTGAAAAAAAAATCAATCCAATGGAATTTCTTTGTATTTTCGTATATAACCTAAAATACAATAGAAATACATTATATAAATTTACTATTCTTAATTTTATTCAAGAAAAACAATCAAAAAGATGATGTAATGATATTTTTTTGCAAAGAATATTGAAACTAACGAGAAAAGTTTCAAATTCCAGTCACGTATGTAGGACTGTTATCAAAGTCATAAAAAAGTATAAGAAAAAGAGTGATAAAGAATAATTAGAATTCAAACGAAATAAATTAAAAAGAAAAAGAATATAGAAAAGCTAAGAAATAATTTGATGTGTCAATCACAATTGTCTATAGTGAAGATTAGGAATTTTTAAGATATTTCTGTGCGTACGTGCACACCTACTCATATACATATATAGAACTTTTTTACAAAGATACTTCGATTGTGACTAAAATACATTTTATCTACCTTTATTTTAACTTCTAATACATCTAATATTAAATTATATTAATATTTTTTAATGAATCATTAGTTTAATTTGAAGAACAGACTTACGATAAAAAAAACACTATTTCAAAACGTTTTCAAGTAATTTGATGAACACCTATTACGTTTCACTTTGTTCGGTGAGATACTGAACGTTGGTATTGTCGGCTTACGTGAATAGTCATCTCTTTATAATACCTTTTCGTTGGTCGGTAGGAAGAGGAAGCACCAATAAACGACGAAGAAGTAAGAACGAAACACCGGTCAAGAACAAACGCAGCGCCATCTTAAATATCGTATCGATCAAAATAAGAACCCCTGTTCTTATTTTCTTTTATTTTTTGCTTCATAAGTTAATTTTTACATGTTATTTTAAATTCAAAGTTTTTTTATATCATTAAAATTTTATAAGCCTGAATATAAAATTCATATTAAATTCTTAAGGTATGCTTCTTTTTTATATTAATAATGATTATTTTTTACTTTTAATAAGAACGGAATTAATTTGGTTAGAGTGTAATCTTAATTTATAGTTCAATTAGATTAATTTAAGCTTAATTTAATTAATTTTAAAAACACTATAGAGTCCAGTGAGACTAGTCATATATCAATGTATCGAGATTTTTATTTTAATCTAATTTTTTAAAGCGATACTTTTTCTAGGAGGATACCAAAAATTTGTTTCTTCGATATGGCGTACATACATTGTCTTAAAATTTTTATTCCTTAACGTAGAGAATTAATTAATAAAAATAATATGCTAAGATAAATTTTGCATTTCGAAAAAAACTTTTATTTCTTTTTAAAATAAAAGTAAATCTGACCGAAATAACTTTTTCTATGTTAGACTCAAAACTTGTCAACCTCCCCACGTATTTAGGTATTGGTAGGATGAATTTCTAGATACATCCCTGTTGTTCCTTCTGCGCATTACAGTAGATGTACACAGTAGAATATAATCTTTCATCTCGTTGAGTTTATGACGTGGAGATAAAACGTTGGCACTTGTTGCTGCGAATTACGTGTTGATTCATAATAGAGGGCACGTTAAGTTGTACTATGCACCCGTTTAAAATAAATTATATTGTTAATCGGATTTAGCGGGAAAATATGAGTCATGATGAAATGCAACTCTAGACTAACGTTGCGTTAGGTTTTTGTATCATTGATGCTGTATCATCGTAAACTACTATACCAATCGATAAGAATAGTCAATGGATTAATTAATTCATACACATATTAAAAGTATAATATATTCTTATTTGTACATTACTCTTATATAAATATGTGTATATGAATTATTATTATTATTATTATTATTATTATTATTATTCTAAAATACAATGTATTTCTTTAAATTTAATTCATTAATTTTTTTTCGTAAATTATTTTTTTGTAAAAAAGATTTGTTAAAAAAAAATCTTTGTAAAAAAACTTGTTAAAAACTGTACTAATGATAAATACGACAATTTTATGTATTATCTTGTTCAGATCGATTTATCTCTTGTAAGATATCGAAATACAACACAAGGAAATCAGCCAGATCGTAGTGTTGTCATTGGAATATTAAGTTCAAAGGTTGAAACGCTTCTCTATGAGTTATCACATTGTGATTTATATAATACCTATATGAATTAGGAAAGCCTATCTTTTCTCCTTTTTATACTATTATGTTAAACACACATAAAATATTTTAATACGTTAGATTTTGGACTAGAAATTAGAAAAACACCATGGAAAAATAAACAATTTAAAACATTATTGAAAACATGATATAAACAGAAATATCAAAATCATTATTTGAATGATTTATATTAATTGATTTATGGATTTATTTTTTGTTTTTTTTTTGTTGTTCTTACGAATAATATTTTTTCTTTGTCGAAGGAAAATATGTTTGATAAATGATATTAATTATATAAACGAAATATTATGAATCACGATAAAAAATATATAAAAAGATAAAATGATACAAATTATTAAAAAACAAAAAAGCTTTTAATTCTGATTCGAGTTTTGGTTAGTCGGTGTTTGTTGGTTGGGTTGTTCGCATTTATTCGGAGTCGTTAATTCGATAACTTTATCATTGATCGCGTGTATGTACTGTGTGAGTTGTAAAAATTCCAAAAGAAAAGCGATATATCTTCTCAGGTTTTCTTTGCTAAGTTCCTTCGTGCGTTGGCATATATTTAGATAAACACGTCGAGCTGCTTTATTGGATAAACGGCCAACAGTTTGTAAAGTATGAAGTAGTTTGTCTTCTTCCTCTGTTTTCACTGTAGCATCTGTTCAGTGAAAGTTCAATGCTATTTTTAATTGCTTTCAACCTTTCTCCATACCTATTTCTTAATTTCTTTCTTTTTCCTTTATACATGTATTTATTTATTTTATTTCGATTTTTATTTTAACTCACCCGTTTCATCTTCCTTTCCAATGGCAGGGAAATATACGTCTATCAATTTGTCCACGATTATAGCGGTATTATCTAATTTTTTAACAGCTTCAATACCATATTGAGTATCTAAGATTTGATTAGCTTTGTTCCAGCTGATATCTCTCAGATTCGTAGCCTGCTCTAATAAAGCGCCGTTCACGTGATAGATCGTAGAAACTGCCGGTTGAACTTTTTTTACGGCTATATCGTAAGCATTAGCTAAAATCTAAAAAGAAATTAAAAAAATAAGTTAAATAGGGTAATCTTAAAAAGATAAGATATCTTTTTCCGAAACGAAAAAGGTACGGAAAAAAGATATTATATTTTTATCATAATTTCTATATCTAGGTTCTTCCTGCTGCGTTCTCACGAGGCAAGATCGATTTACCCACCTGCTCGGGTTTCTCCTTCACCAATGGGACTCTTTCTTCGATTTTGTTGAGACCGAGGCAGAGCGTGTGGTCGACAAAATGAATAGGATTCTCGAATTTCTTAGCTAGGGGGGCGGCTATGGGTACAGCTTGCCTGGTTGCACTCTCGAAAGAACTCTCGGCTGTGGTCAGAGCCCAATGTACTAGCCAATGAGAGTCTTTTAATTTATTATAAGTTTCTACCGATTTATTAAAAGCCATTCCGATCATAGGAAGTTCAAGAACACGATGGAAAACTTCAATATGAGGTAGTTGAGCAATTTCAGTAGCCATTTTGATTTAGATGACAAATTTCCTGAGAATATTATTCACATTAATTCATTGGATATATCTTTCTTTGATAATATTAAATCTTATCATCCACGTGTAGATACATATGATAATTCCTTATTTTTGATTTGATCGTCTGGCATATTTCAATCTTCAGTTTGAATTTTAAATATACATTAATTGTAATATTACATAGTAATTCTCAATTAATTCTCAATTAATTCTCTATATATTAATAAGATAACTATAAATGTGACAATAACAATTTTTGGTACTATTGCATATCGAGGGTTTATATTTGTTTAATACGTTTTGTAAACAGACGTGATTCTATTGCGATGAGCCTCGACGAGGTCAACGAATTGAAATTGTGTAGAGATATGTACGTGAATGCGAATCGTTCTTCCTACTTTCTCATACGGAAACGACCCTTCTATAAAAGATAAAAGTAACTCACGAAAGTCTAGAAATATCCGTCGAGCTAGTGTCGGTGAATTTTTAACAAGGAAACTTTGTTATCTATCATGATTTCATTAATTTAAAGTCCTGTACTATTTAATCAAATAATTTGCAAACAAAATTTTCTAATACGATAAATAAAATGTCGATACGATAACTTATATACGAGATAAGTCAATTTATTTATTCTTATATATGAAAATATGTAGAGTAATTGTAAATTTTTTAAGGTACCATTATATGAACGTAAAATAGACACGCTATATATATATATGCATACAATTATAATATTAGAGAATGCAGTTATTTATAAACAAAGGTATAACATATATCATAATTTATGCTAAACGGTTGTCAAAAAATAGTAGAATTCTATTTAATAAAATATCTGTTAAATAAATGTTATACTTACGTATTTGAAAGTAATTTGTAATTCTTGAATTTCGAAGGTTCACGTGTTGACAAGAATACAAAACAAAAATACGGTCCTTCCCTCGCGGTGGGTGACGCGTATCTGACCTCGTACATCTATTGAGAGTTTTCGAGGTATCGCGTCGCGCATGCGCAGTACGCACGGCGACTGAATTTCGATTCGCGCGTAAAAAATTTTGAATTCGATTTTATAAAGAAAAAAACATGAGTATAATTTAAATAATTTAAAATAAAACTTTTCACACACACACACACACAACGACGATTCATTAACTTTATAGATACATTTATTTTTCCACCAATAGCAATAACATCGTATTACAGTAGGAAACCAATACAGATAACTAATTATCCGACGCTTATACTTACGATTATTGTTAAAAACGGTGAGATGATTTTTCCTCGTTCTAAACTCCTAATCTTATTACCCCGAATCATTATGGATTACGTATTTAGATATATGTATATGAAAAGAAGGAAAAAAAAAAGAAGTAAATCAACATTAAAACGAAAAGAAAATGAGAAAGGAAGAAAAAGAAAATTTCGATCGTGTTGATATTACCGTGATAACACACTTATTTTTCTTATTCTTTCTAACAATAAGTGTTATAGATGTAATCTAGTTTTATAATAGAAAAGAAGTTAATAAAAATGATGATTTTTGTCTTAGACATATTTTCTCGGTTAATTTGAAGTGAAACCGTTCTCCTTATTTTTTATCTTCATTTGTTTACACGTTATCGGTTAAGAACGTTTGCTGGTTACACGTTTACGTGAAGAAGTAGAAGAACATGACAATGATGATGATGATGAAGATGACGTTGATGATGATGAAGTAGTAGTAGTAGTAATAACATTTCTATGTGCCGTTGACCTTGGCGCGTAATCGAGAAGCTTTTCGTTCCCTGAGGGGGAAAGAAACCCGCTCGAGACAGTTTCCAGGTTCTGCTTGGTTACTCGATACCGTTTACCGGAGAATTGGAAGTCATCGACGTGTGGTTGCTGTGGTTCCGTTGAAGATCTTGTGCTCGGTTCGACTTTGACGTCGTATTTGTCACTATTGTTCCTGTGGCTGTTGTTGTTGTTGGCTTTTCTATTCCTGTCCTTGTTCCTGTTCCCGTTGTCTTTTTTGACACCGTCGTTGTTGAAGTTGTTGCATCCTTCATGCTCGGAGGATAAGCAAGTAGTGCCGGTAGCAGTTCCTGAAGAAATATCGCTCGGGAATAAGTGAGCCGGTGTTTTTTTTCCAAAATTAATACGACCTGATTGTTTTTAATGAAAAAAAATGGAGAGATCTCTAATAATCGTTTCTGTTCATGTAATTAATATATTCAAGATATTTCATTAAACTTCAAAAACTCTGTAGAGTTTTGCTGTTTTTGATAATATCAAGGAACAGAAATTATTTCTTTTTACAATGCGATCAAAAATGTTAAAAGAAAATCATCATCGTCACGGCACGTTTTTTCCTTTTATTTATTTATTTATTCTTTTCTTTTTTAATTTTTTTTTGTAATTTTTATATCTTCATTTTTCTTTCAGATTTTACGCGTTGAGATGGGAAAGATTGTAACAAGGTATTACTGTCCGATTATTTATTTCAATGAAAAAATAAAAGAAGATATAACGTTAACAAAGAAGCAATATTATCTATCTACGTATATATATGTATATATTAATTGTAATTATAATAAATTTCGTTAGAAGAACATAAAAAAAAAATGAAAAATTAAAAAAAATTATCGTTGAAAGAACCGTGCCGATAATTATCTTCCTTTCTTTACACATTAAGTGCATCCTCGTTCAGTATCTTCGGTCTCGATAGAGTGATCAAGGATGACAAAAGAAAGAAAAGGAAGGTAAAAGTGATAAAAAGTAATAATGTTAGATCATTTGAAAGATTCGTTCGAACAACGACGGACTGTTCTCGAGTAAATACGACGTCGAGGAGCCCGTCGTCGCCCTCGTCTTCGTCGCCGACGTCGCACTGAGTACTTACGCACCAGCAACCTATTTGTGTTTGTTCCGAGCTTCCGTACCACCGAACGAAGCATCATGGACATCTGTTGCGTCTGCGTCGTCTCTTTTGTCCCGATAATCGATATCGCCTACGCACCAAAATCAAATCCTTTGCCAATTCTCTATCTCATTTTGTAACATTATTATTTATCGAGAGAGTATCTTTTTATTTTATTTTCTTTTTTTTTTTTCTTTTTTTTTTCGACTATTTTGTACTTTTTCTTTTATCTTATAAATGACCGAATTGATATAGAAGATTTTATTTATATAATATATAATATTGAAATTATTTATGATGTATGGATTGCAATCCGTTAGGGTGGTTTCGGATCGATCTGAATTTCTTCTTTTCTTTTGAGAAAAGAAGGAAGTATTCCATTATCATTGACTTACGAATCAGTATTCATCATCCGTATTATTTCTATTTTTCTTGTCGAAATTCGATTCTAAACTATAACTGTAAAATATCGCATAGGTGATGTAATATTTGATATGAAAAATACTATAATCGATGAAATATAAAACATAAAAGGAAAGAGAAGTCAGATCGATATTAAACCACTGTTTTGATCGGCCAATTTTCAATCTAGAATTCGATGATTCGACCTTCAATGTGGCATCCGTTAACGTCAATAAACGTCGGGAAATCCTGATGAGGAGTTTGCCAACCCGTCGTGGCGTTCTTGCAGCTAAGGATGCTGCACTATTCACGAGATGAACTATGCGTCTTGCTGCTTCTCTTGTTAATAAAACGAAAAATTGTTCCAAAGTTGTGGGACGCGCTTGATTCTCGGGTTCGGGTAGGCTCAATGTGGCCCATAATTCTTTAGCTTTGTGAAACGCTAATTTGGGGTCCCTTGCGATCTGACAAAGAAAAATCAATTATTTAGATTTTAATCAAAAAGTGATTTATATCATTTTACAAAGAGATTAGTACTTACCAATTCAATTACGTAAAGAAACACGTGAATGCATTCGGTACCTTGTTCTTTGAGAGCTCGTGCCTCAGCCATCGTACGACGTGTTAATCTTCTTTGTAATTTTCTTGAAAATCTTGCACCGTGTTGAATAGTACGAGTCGTTTTGCTAACAGCTTCCTTTGCATCAACCTCTATTATAAATATATATATATATATATATATATATATATATTTATGATTTATATGAATATGTTCCGTTTTATTACATTATTTCTATGCTTATAACGGCATTTATTTATAAATCAAATTAATATAATGAAAATTTGTGTGTGTGTGTTCAAGAAGAATTAGAAATATATTGAAACAAATTGATAAAGAGTTTAAATAATAGATTAACGATAAAAAGAAATAATACCATCAACTGTCTTATCAGTTGAATCATCAGGTAAATAATGATCAACGTATTGATCTGCCATAGTTAGAGCACTGTCCAATGTATCGATTGCAACACTGGCAGCGTGACTCCCAATTTGCTTCATACTACCAGCACGCAGCAGAACTGGTCTTAAAATTTTATTTGCTACGTATTCTCGAGTGTACCAGTACATCTATAAGTTCAATAAGAAATGGAACAAATTATTCCATTTAAATAATATAAGCATTGCCATTTAAAGAGAAACGAATTTTAGAAAAAAAATCAATAATTAATTACATATTGCGGAGGAATATGTACTGCTGGTACTCTCTGCTCAACTATATCGATTCCTTTACATAGCAATTGATCGATCGTAGTGATTGGTCCATTGAAAGTAAAGATCGCTGGTTTAGCTGAAGCAGCTGCCAGGGCAAGTGATGTTTCAGCTGCGTCGAGACTCCAATTCATCAAAACATTTGCATTCTAAATACGATTTATTTTTCATATTTTTACTCCGTTACGATTAAGGAAATTTCTTAGAATTAAGATTATTAAAAAACAAATAAGAATAAGAGAAGTCGAGTAATGATTACAAAAGTGAGTTGAAATTAGGAAAAGGTTAAACAAAAATGATTAATAATTATCTATAAAAAGAAAAAAGAAGAAACAACTTTCGTAATCGATAATCACTCGAAATTTTTCGAAAAATGAAGTTATTACCAATCGAAGAAGGAAAGATAAGCCGATGATACCTTTATCCTTTTGTAAACATGTCCAGCGATGTGTATGCTACTTTCGACGATTGGCAGATTCGATAGTTTTGTTATAGATTCAAACTGCAATAGATCCGAATTAATCTGTACTTTGTTGCTTGGCGCCATTGTTGGCCGTCGCTAAAATAAAATAAAAATGAACAAAAATATATATTTTTGCAAAATAATAAGATCGCACGTTTCTCTGCCTTATATGGGATATTCTATTTATTTATACGTGTGTACGTGGATATATATCATGAAATTTGAACAACGTTGTATTGAAAGGAATTGGATTTTGGGAGAGAAAGAAAGAAAGAAAGAGAAAGGAAAGGAAACAAACATGAACGACGAGATACCACATCGCACGACGAAGAGCAATGACATTTCTCTTTCCTGTTTTATCGATTAGTAACATCGTCGTTATTGCGGTTCACGACGATCGTAAAAGTCAAACGAGACGAAAGATCAGTTCTATGAGAAAAATTCGATTTTTAATATCATTTTATTTATGTTTTTAATATTTTTATTCAATTACTGTAAGACAGAGAAAAAAAGAGAGAGAGAGAGAGAGAGAGAGAGAGAGATTATTTATAAGTCATGATCGAGAGACCCGAATGTTTTATCGGATTTATCCAAGATCATCGAAATCATTTTAACCTTTTGTAGAATGCGGCGATGATGATTTTCCGTTTTTACGAAAACTTTTGCATAATAATATTAAATCTATATATTACATATCTATTTTATCAAACATATATTTATTAATTATCCTTTTTTTTTTTTTTTTTTTTTTAAAAACTTACATGATCGCGAATTAGGTGCAAGAATATCTTGTTTCATTCGTTCGATTGGTTTCTTCTCTTTGGATATTTTCTGCAGATAAATAAAAAAAGGAGAGAAAGAAAGAAGATACATTGAAAGAATCGTTCATCTAAATGAGCGGCGTTTTAATTAACGATTAAAAGTTAGCGTCATTTCGCCGGATACACAAGCACGAGAAAATAATAATAATAACATGAAGCAGATAACACGGGAAAGTAAGAACGAATGAGCAAGCAATTAAGAATAAGACGAGCAAGATAATTTAAAGGAAAATAAGAGAATGAGAATAAGAGAAAGAAAGAGCGAGAGTGGGCTGACTGAACGAAGCACGCATATGTAAATGTATTTATCTATGTATATAAATAGATAAATATCGTGTTCGAACATCTCCTGAGTTTGAACGTACGCTATTATTATTATTATTTTTCAACAATGAGCCGTTCAATAATTCTAATTATTGCCAAATTATCTTTTCCTTTGTTTCTAATTATTTGACTTTAGATCTTATTTTAGAAAAATAATCATGATAAATAAAAAGAGTTAGTTAATCGTTTATAAAACGGGATAAAAATTTGTAATATCATTCATTTACAGAAAATATTCTACATAGGCACACTTGTTATTGGCTATCATCTTTAACGATCTCACAATCGTTATTAATATTTATAATAATATTTATAAATTCATTTATCTATCATTTTGTTTATCTTACTTCTATCTCATATCACTTATGTATAAACATTTTCTCTTTATACACTCGTGTGTACGATCACGATTATACATATGGAACGATAAATCCTCCTTCTCTTTCTAAAGAGTATTGAAAAATTATAATGATTTGTACGTACCTTGAAATTTTCTTCGACGATACAAACTTAGGCGATCACGCGTCGCCAGTTTGGATTTGACAACACGATTGACACAGGAATGGTGGTAAGTCCCCGTATTTCGTTTGAGAACGCGTCGCTGACTGCACATAGAGAACTGTGAAACGTTATCTCTTAAGTTTGACCTATGATACATTGCCGATTATATGCTGTCCGCAGAATGGCAACAGTAATGGCGCATTGAAAAAAAATCTTTCTTCTTTTTTCTTTTTCTTTTTTTTTTTTTTTAATCTCTTTCTTCTCTTTCCTTTCTTTTTTCTTCCCACAACCATCGTTTTTGTTGCATTTCGTCTTGTGACGAAGATAAAATCGCTTAAGAGATAATGTCACTTTAGTGCTACAAAAAATACACTATTTTTGAAAATTTTTTTATAGGAATATGGTAAGTGCAAAGTAACATTCGTTTACAGGCCTTTATTATATACATTTTCAATAACATTTACAAATTTTTCCATTGCAAGTTGTCACAAAATGGCACCGTCACAGCTTAGTGTACAATAGTGCAACATTATCGAATAGATTTCTTCTCAAATTTTTGATCTAGAAAATAAATCTATTTATTTCTCACTTCTACGATAGATTATCTTTCGATGAATGTAAGATATTAAAAAAAAATAATATTGTTTGTTGTGAAAATGGGGTGCACGATAGAATTGATAGTTATCGATGTAAAATTTTGGATAAAATTGTTCAGAGAAAAAAAGATCATTAGACAAAAGATGTTTCGATAAGTAATGTAATTATATGAGTCCTATATAAATTTTAAGTCGATCGGTCATAAACTGTAGTCATGAAACTCCGGCAATTTAAAAAAAATGTAATTTTGATATATATATATATAAGTGTGTTTAAAGTTTCACATAAAATTATTTCATGAAATTTTTGATTTACCTTTAGTCTGCGATGGCTGAACCATACCATTAGCTTTCAATACGTGTATATTTCTCCCTTTCTTCTTGTCTAGTTAATTTTTATGACAGCCGAGCCGTTTTTGTTTTTTCAGTGAGTGATCGTTCCGAATGAATAGTCGATAGATACATCGCGCATCAGTTTGCACACAGTAATTATTGCAGCAATTTCAACCGATATCGCTGTTCCTAGTATCTGGATGATCTCGTAATACTAATTAATCCATCATTATACAATAGATACAAAATTTTATGCAGTTATTAAGGAGATCGTCTTTGCTCAATTCCTTCGTAAATCGGTTTGATTACATTGAAAATATCCTGCGAGAGAGCTGCTTTTGCGAATATTCGTGCAAGGTATTAATGATTTTTGCTTTTTGTTACGAACACCACGAATTTTAACCAGGAGAATATTTCTCTTGCTACGGCTTATTATAAGTCGATTAGCTTATGGTCTAATGTCGTTCAGATTTCTTTGTTCATTTTTTTTCTTGATAGAATTATGATTATGACAAATGGCTGATTAGTCTTTAGTAGATTGAAAGTTTATCTACAATTACAAGCTTCCTGATAAATTTTCCCTTTTCTCCAAGGCTTGTAATATTTTTTGTTCATATACCACTAATACTCGAAAGTATTTGGCCACCATTGCATATCCTTGTGAATATCATTTCTATAAAACTTTTTCCATCATATTTCAAGTTCCTAAAGAACATTTTACGGTAAATCAAAATTTTGGATTTTTTGAAAATTCTATAGAATGGTATTAACCTTTAATTGAGACTCCTGGTCTTTCTCAATCGAAAAAAAGAAGCGAAGTATAATAGAATAAAAATAATAATGAAAATAATTATTATAATCATGTAAATAATAAATTCTTCGCGTATTTTTGTTTAGATTATATGAAAAAGAAAAAAAAGAAAAAATTGGGTTGTAGATTACGTGTTAGACTTCGATACATCGATCTATGGAACCGAGTTAACGTTCAAAGCCATCTTAGCTAATTAGGAATCCCTGATAGGAAAAGAGTCTAAAGAGAATCGTCAAATTATCAATTAGATAATTGGAAGACTTTGTATCATTCTATACAAATCAATAGATTTTTCTTTAAAAAATTTTTCTTTTTCCTTAAAAAACATTTTCTTAATGAACTGGAACGTCTAGTTTTGATTATTCTTCCTTCTCCACTTCTTCTTCCTTCTCCTATCATTATCATTCTCCACGAAGTGTTTTCTTTTTCTCCCTAACTCAGGAAAAGAAACTATGATCGAAAAAATTTAAATTATCTCTGACAGACAATCGCAATTATGTTCAAAGTTCAGATCACGTAAAAAGTTTTCGCGTTCGGGTTTTAAACGGGAAGTGATTAAATTTTTCACTCGTGTACTCGCATTGACATAGTAAATGTGTAAATGGTTGATCGATGCGTATAAGTGTATGTTTATCTATAGGTGTGTATAAGTTTGTAAACGATATACTCACACTTATTCATTTTAAGGCGATTTTTCAGGTCTCTACATTTCCATGAGATCCGATTGTCTAGCATCGAGGTCTTGCATGTGCTGTGCAACAAAAAAAAGAGAAAAAAAATAGTGAGAGAGAGAGAGAGAGAGAGAGAGAGAGAGAGAGAGAGAGAGAGAGAGAGATGCACCAATGGCTTCTCTTCTTTCTCCTCGTCTTCATTTTTATTCGTTTCTTGTTCTCATCTTCGTACCGAGTTTGTGTCTGCGTTGCGAAAAAATTCATTCTTCGGAAAAACTACTTCTTTCTTTTTTTCTTTCTTTCTTTCATATTTTTTTTTATTTTTTATTTTTTCTCTTCTTTTTTCTGTTACCACCTGGTACCAGGTAGGTCCAACTTTTATATCTGTTGTGTCTACTTGATCGTAACAAAACTTTATGTCGTTTTTATACGTAACATCGATGATCATTTGAAAATCAATATTTTATTTTTGCAAAATAAGTCATAACGCGACTTGGTCCATTTGGAAAATAATGACGTTAGGTTGTATTGATGTTCGTAGTTTAGTATTGTAAAATATTTTAATATATAATTATATAATAGATATAAATAAATAGATAGATATATATTATTCTAATTATTACATAATTAGTACTAATCTTAATACAATTATTTAGATTAGATAAGTATGTTTACAATGATATTTGTTAATATTAATCAGCGACACGCTTATATTACGCATTTTATTTTAGTAAAATTATTAAATATTATAATTGTTTAAGAGAATATTGTAAAATCTAATATATGATACATTTTATAAAGAATAAATCAGGCTCGAATACATTTTTCTATTCAAGTTAATATATGTATAAAATTTTCTACCAAAAGAGATATGCGAATGATAATGTTAATAAATTTGTTGATTATCGATATCATTGGTTAATTCCAATCATCGATATTAATAAACTTTCATTAAACTGAGCACAAATAAAAGAGAGAAAAAACAAGATAATTTTTTTGTTCTACGTGTAATGCGTCTTAGGTTTGTGTAAAATTTTTAAATAAATTTTCATCAAGAATACATGCGTAATTAAGAATGATGTATTTATTGATCATTTATGATGATTTTAAAATATTCAGAGTAATATAATATACAGTGAGTCAAAGAAGTATTCGTAACCACCCCTACTGTAAATTTAAAATAATTGATATTTGCTTGTAATGTAAAGCTTTACAATTTTTCTACACAAGAATCTACTGTAGGATTATTAAACTTTCAAATTGATATAAATTTTATTGTAGGGAATATTTTATTGTTAGAGATATATAATTTTATTTAAATGATCAAAAATTAGTCTCACAGGAGTATCAGCATCTGCGTAAGATATAATAAAAATGCAATAATTATTTTTGTAAGTAGTAGTTGATTATTTAAGTTTAATTATTGTTTTTTAAGTTTTTATAATTTTTTGCATAAGAATTTTAAGATTTTATGTTATAAGAAAATATTGATTGTTTTAAATTGACGGGGTACGAATCCTCCTGGTACTCACTGCATACGATGATTAATTCTTTTAATATCAATACCTGTCAATCACAGCTGATATTAGAACTCTTCATCGAAATGCAACGGAAACAGCAAGCATCTTGCAACACGCATGACAAACGTGTTAAAGAAAAGGAAGATATATATCATATTATTAGATATTACTATCCATGTCAATTCATTTTAATCTATGCTTATATACATGTATATACACATATATATACGCATGAGTATATTGACAAGATAATAATCGTATATGTTTCAAAGTATGTATAAAGAAAAACACATATGTATATAAATATATACGTAAAGTAATGTTAACGCGTTTGACATTTCTTTTAAAAACGTTTTTGCGTCTTAGAGACGACAATTAGATAGAATATAGATCAACTCGTTTTATCGTATGTATGTCATATTCTGTTTAGTTGTTGAAAAAATGAAAAAACGAGAAAAAGAATTATTTTTTTGTTGAGAATATTTCATTCGCAAATAATTTTAGATTGACGATCTATTAAAAAATCTTATTGAATTTTATCACAATTTTCCTTCATTGAAAAGTTAGTTTCTAATGTTCTTACTGGATGAATACCGGCAATTTTTCGTTTGACATTGCTAGTTAGTCTTTGTTAGTTAGATACAGTGATAAATCTCTAGATAGAAATGTTCTCTATTAATTCGACCTTTCCTTCAGGTTAGAATCGTGAAGATACTTTGGTATCCTTGAAAATTTTTCTAATTTTATGCGTATTCATTTTGTCGATTTTTTTTTTTTTGTTTTCTTTAAGATAACTTGACATTTAAGAACAATGATCGATGATGATCAAAATCGGTTATCACTTTCGTAGATATTTTTTTTTTTAAATATCAATTCCCATCTTAATTTGTTTCCATATCCATAAATGATCTAGTTGATAGATCACACGATCTTTTAACTCTGCGCATGTTTAACTTTATCGACGTTAACGACGTTAATAAACGATCGTCTATATTATCTAAAAATAAATCACGAATGGGGTTGCGTGGATTGTAAGACGTAAAAAATGAAGACGATGACTGAACGATATTTCTTCGTGTCATTCATTCAATTTTGCTTATAAACGCTTGTCACTTTGGTTGATGCTTCGTAAGATTGAAACAATTGATCAAATCATCGATCTACTATCTCTTATTCATTGATCTCTAATTAATTAATAAAGAATAATTTAGTCAAGTATATATTTATTTATATATATATATATATATACATATATATTGAGTGACCCAAATTAGACTGCAACCCGTTTTACATCAGCACGCGAATATCATCAACGACGATAACGACGACGACGACGATGACACACTGAAGTAGTAATAAAATAAAATTGTTATTAAAATTATGCCACAATATATTATTTGTTTCGTTATCAAGAAATATGTTCTGAAACGTAATAAACAGAATTATGTAACACGGATAAAACGAATGTAACAAATGAAATATAAAACTGTAAACATAAAAAATATATTATCGCGCATTTCATTTTTTTTTAATAGGATTTAAGAAACTATTTAGGACATAAATGTCAACCAATTGTTCTTTAGTGCTCGTAAATATTTGGAAAGATTAATTTTCGTGTCAGAAAAGTATATTCTGTCTATGTCCAGTTAAAAGTCATTAATTTAATATTTATGCTCTAATCTGAGTTATTGCTCGTCACAGAAAGTTTTAATAGGAAAAATAATATTTGGGAAAATTATACTTTTTAATAAATGTGTATTAACTAAACAATAGTATTGTTTTGATTAAGTGTTTAATTATAACAGTTTATGATAATATAACGATTTTTAGATGTTAAGTACAGTTTTATTATTTAAAAAATATAAGAATGTATGGTCTTTGTAATAATATATAAGAGACTCTGAACTCTTTAACGATCGAGTTGCTGAAAAAGTCCTGATGAAGGGACGAAACGTTCAATAAGATCGAAATAACGTTCTAAATTCTTATCCTGTCCAACTTTCATGCGACACATTTATTAATAATTTTATTTTTGGAAGTGATAAACAAATAATTGATTATACCTTTTGTTAATACTTTTACATTTAATTATTGATCTTTTGTTCAAGCACGCTACGATTCGTTGACTATTAAGACACATCACGTTTTACATAGGTTATGCAGGACGTGTCTCGTGCAACGTCTTCTAATATTAACTTCAATCAGTGGCAATAAGGAGGAAATAACTTAACACGTGCACGAGTTATTATTTATCGTCTCGGTTGCTCACGTGATTATGAGAATAAGCATATAAAGGTATCTTGATCTTGAACGAGCCAACGTATTCTTTCGTAGGCGTCGTTCGGGTCAAAGTGAACGTTCGCCTGCGTTTATTGGAATATTGTTCGTTTCTAAAATTAATTATTCGAAATATTTTGAACAAACGTGTGTATTAGGCTCGATCAAAGTTATTTCGTGATTATTATTGGTTACTTTTTTGCAATTTCAATATTTTCCAAAATTAAAATAACAAATTTTCAAGATAAAAATGCGTGAACTAGAAAGTCAAAGAATTTTAAAGGACGAAGAATGTTTCGAAATCATAAGAAAGAAACTTCATCGAGATTGCATGGAGGATTTCTCTTTGATCGATTACGAATTAGTGCCTATAGACGGTGTCAATGGTTACATGGGTCAATATTTTAAACTCAAGGCTACGGTCGCACGACCGATGACGCCGTTGGAAACGAAAGATTTGAATTTCTTCACGAAAATACCACCGCCTATCAGTAGTCCTCAATATGAGTTTACTCAACAATATGGTACTTTCAAGAAAGAGGTCGAACTTTATACCAGAGTTTTTCCTGAAGTTTTGGATGGGACCGAACAAAGGTATATACCAGAGTGTTTCTTGGGTTTGGAGGATGACGTTATTGTGTTGGAAGATATGGCACATAGAGGATTCGTCATGACAGATAAGTTTGAGCCATTTGATTTTGAACATTGCCAGGTGTTGATGAAAACACTTGCCAGGTTCCATGCTAAATCGTTTATCTTCGAGGAACAATATAAAAGAAATCTTCACGACGAATTCTCTCATTGCATGCAAGAAACACTTTGGTCTCTGAAAGAAGGTAGAAGCAAGGCCATGTTCGATGCAGCTGTTAAGGGTACGGTTTCTATGATTGGGATTTTACCAAATCTCAATGATAATCAGAAAGAAGCATTTAAAGGAAAAGTCATCGATTTATCCGCAAGTCACATGGATAAATTATCACCCTCGTCTAAGCACAAGAACGTTTTGTGTCATGGTGATTTGTGGGCGAATAATATTTTATTTAAATATGACAAAGATAAGAAACCGATCGAATGTTGTCTGATAGATTTTCAATTAGCCAGGTGAGATTAATAAATCATTTTCTTTCAAATTTTCATTTTAGCACAAATGTCTTGTAATATTATTTTAAATCTTTAGGTACAACCCACCAGCACATGATATTTTATGCTTTTTCCAATTCACGACTAGTCGAGAATTACGAGACAAACATGGCGAGACCTTGTTGAAAATTTATTATGATTCAATGACAGAGGCTTTGAAAGAAGCGGACTTAAACATATCAACGATCTTTCCCTGGTCCGAATTTATATCGTCCATCGAAGATTTACGTACTATGTGTATTACTCATGGTGTTTTAAATACTCCGATCATGCTTTTGGAACCTAGCGCGGCAAGCAAGTACTTCAGTGAGGAGCCTGAACTTCTCGAAAGTGTTCTCTACGTCGATAGGACTCCTCTTATTTGCGGACAATTCGAAAATGTTCCGAGATATCGAGCCAGGATGCTCGAGGGTTTGCTCGAGTTACATGATCATTTGATCAACTAAATGTTATCTTTTTTTTTTACCAAAAATTCCGACCTATAGTATTTCTCCGTAGTTTATTATTAAATATTTCTTCGAAATAATCCGTATGATTGCAATATTTTTAATATTGTTAAAAATGCAAATTTTACAAATAATAATTGAAGTTTTTAAAGTCGGATATTTGTCAATTCGATTGATTGAATAAAAGTATTCGTAATGTTAGCTGCAAATAAATTGCAAAAAAAACTAATATCTTATTTTATTTTGAAATTTCTTCATTAATATATTATACCTACCTTGAAATAGAATTATGAACGAATTTCGATATAAATTTTCCTGTATTCTGCAAAGAAATATTTTTAAATAAGGAAGGATCATATATTCGAATATTATGTTAAATAAAAATGATATTAAAATTCGATGATGGTATAGCACGTTAAAAAATAATAACAATCTTATCGATCGTGTGAACGGTATTACCCTAATCGGGACACGCTCGAAATAGGGCATCCGTTCTATTTTATTACAAACTCTGATGTGAATATCGCACACCGAAACGTGAGGCATAATGGGACTCTTGTAATTTCATACCTTTTATGTATATAATTATTTATATCGTCAATTATAATGAATATATAGTTATGTACAATATTGAATCTCATTCTTTAACAATAACATCAACAACATGATTAAACAACGTTCCTCATTGGTACACAAATTGTAAATGTACAGATAAAAAAGCATTAGATGAGGTTCAATGAGGCATCGAAGGTGGGCGTACACACTCGGCGCGCCTGAATCCCTTCTTCCCTTCGTACACAAACGTAATCCTTTTATATATATATTTATATACATACATATGTATGTGCATACATTTACACATACACATATACATACACATGTCGAAATCTTTTCGATCCTATGTCCATAAAGATTTTCCAATTTTATTTACCTCTTCGTCTTCCTCTTTAATTTTTTTCATCTTCGCCGTCGTCTTCATCTTCATCATCTTCATCTTCTTTATTCTTTCTCTTATTTTTTTTGTTCTCTTTTTGTTAAATTTTTAATTCTTATTTATTTTTTTGTTACGTAAGCCTTCGTCACACACAAGGGTGATCCCTTTATCTAAATCACTTCGAAAACGTTACTACCCGTGCGTTATTTCGTGGCACGGAAGAATCAGAGTGCGTCGATAATAAATTACACACGTATATATATATATATAATTTCACAATTAGAAATTATTATGTTTAATCATCCACGAGGACTTTTATCGTCGTAAGTTAATGAATTTATTAATTACGCAGGCCATATATCGAAATCCCCTTTCGAATGTTCTTCATGCGAAACACCGAGCAATGTTTGAAATATTATTCTCTTTCTATTTCTCTCTCTTTCTTTTATTTTCATTTCTTTTTTTTATATCATAACACAATTGTCTTTCCATGCCATAATCAAACGCAAAGGTGTCGTTCAACGTGGCGAAGGTAAAGGGATTAACGCGAGAATACAATCGCACGTATACATACACACGTCATGCGCACGCACATTATATACGTATATATACACACATTATTTATATTTTTATATTCTATATATATATATATATATATATGTATATATATACTTATACTTATTATTTATACGCATATGCTTATCAATATTTATACTTCGTTTATACACGTACACGTTCCACATGCACGCAACAAAATATACGCCGCGTGTAACTCAAGGCGAATTAGATTACACGGTATGTATCGATCGAGTCGGTGCATGATTTAATTATTAAGGAGAGTGCACGACGACGCTTTTATTTCCTCGAGAGGAACCAGCCAGGGCCGACGCTTAGCCGCTCTTTTTGAAATATTGTATCTCGATCCTTCCATCATTGCCGACATTTTCATCTTATTATTATTGTTATTATTATTTTTTAATGTTTTAATCAAATTGTCAAAAATCTCTTTTCACTTTTGACAAAAAAAAGAAACGAAAAAAAAAAAGAAAACAATTGTCGCAGAAATTATATTTAAGTATTAAAAATATAAACGCGATTCTCTAAAAGGTAATTGAATTGAATTTGTTTGTGAGAAACATAAAAATGAAATTTTTCATTGATAGAAATAAAACGCCGACGTTAACGAGATCGAGAACAAATATGCTGGTGGAACTTTATCACGATTATCGAAAAATCCTTCTTTCTCTCTCCGCTTTGTGCGTACGCATCCTGGTTTTGAAAAAGGAACTCGACGAAAGCATAAAAAAGTCGTTTTGTTAATCGAAAGCGAACGAACATCGAACTGTGTCTCGATTTAATAAAAAATCGATCACGAACGAAGCTATTTTTTTGTAGCTCCGTCGTGACAGGACGCAAATCGTCGACCATTCGTCGTCTACGCGAGACTCTACGCAAGGCTCCAACGAGTTTCTTGGTTTGTTTTTTTTTATTTTTTTTTCGTTTTTCTTCTTCTTCTTCTTCTTCTTATTTTGTTGTATGTTTGTTTGTGTTTCTCTTTGTCAGTTTGTAATATTTTTCTTATTTGTTTTTGGCTTCAAATACCTTTTCATCGAATCTATATTTCGTACTATTTCGTTTATTATTATTATTATTATCATCCTTCTTTTTTTCTTACTCAATATTCTTATCTTTCTTCTCTTATCATCTCTTTTTCTTATTCTTTATATTTTTCTTCGAGTCTCTTAATCTCGAACAATGTCACGACACACACGAAAGGACCACCACCCACCAATATTTTTATACGTGATACGAATAAATATGTCTGTATTATTCACGTTATATTGCGCGACGGGACGAGAATCGAAGTTTGGTTTTCGTATTAAATAAGATTTGCGTTTCACGAGATACTTTACTTTTTTTTCATTCTATTATTTCTTCTTTTTCTTCTTTTTCTTTTTTTAGGGGGGAAAAAGAGAGACTTTTTCAAACATTCAAATGTATTACAATTTAAATTTTATATTTTCTTCAATGAATTAAACTAATTTATTATACTATTTAAAGTAGCAATGCAATAATGAGTTTCTTACAAAAGTAAGAACAAGATACAGGAAGCAAGATATTTAAAGTGACTTCTCATTCTTTATTCTTTAGTTAATAACGTTAATTTAATACAAAGAAACAATTCAGTCTCCCTTTTACAAAAGTCGATTCATAAATAAGTCAAGAGTTTATTATAATTGATTGACATTTATTTATGAATAAACCATATTTTTTAATAACAATGTCGAATTTGCAATTGACTCAATCATATAATAAGTACTATTTTATCGTTAATCAATTTATACCAACGCTTTTATATATTTATGAATCAACTCAAGGTATATACATATTTTTATAAACGACGAGGCACTTCCTTCCTTTCGCACTCGTCCGTTTCGATTTTTCACATTTTTCTCATTGAAAATCATAATATGTGACAACGTTTCCATATTCCCAAAATCCCGATAATCATCATCACCATCATCGTCATTTAAGAATAACGAAGTCTTGATTTACAGAATAACGAAAAATAATGACCCACGATGTTTCTTTTCTTACGTTTTTATCATTTTTATTTCGTCCCGTCGCGCATTTAAAAGATCTTTCCCGATAAATTAAAAAGAGGATCCTTCGAGAAGAAAGAGACAGACAGAAAAGCAGACGGACAGACAAACAGACAGACAGACAGACGGACAGACAAACAGACAGACAGACAGACAGACAGACAGACAAACAGACAAACGTACGTATGTACAGATTGACAGACAGTGATGACACACACAATTTTTTTGCAAAAATTTCTAACTCGATCATTTGTGTCTTCTTATTTTCACTTTAACGTGCCAGGTGCCCATCCGGATCCTATGCACATTTCTTATTAATGTAATATGTATGTACATCCTATTACTTCTTCTGTCTTTTTTTGTTTTTTTTTGTTTTCATCATTATCATAATCATCATCAATCGTCATCGTCATTATCGTTAATCAATCGCAATCATAATCATTAACGGTTAAACAGTTCACAAGCTTCGAGAGACGTAAACCCTTTTTTTTTTTTTTTATAGCTTCGAAAATCGAGCTGTACACACAGAAACGTTTATGTACAACGAATTTAAAATACGAACTGCAATGGCAGTGAACAGTGCAGGTGAATAGGTACTCCAAACAGCAAGTTAATTAGCGGCACAGCGCAACAGCAGCAGCGGCAGCGGTGGCAGCGGCGGCGGCGGCGGCGATTACGGTTTTTTTTAATTATTTTTTTTGCTTTTTTTTTTTTATATATATATATACCATTCCTTCTTTTTTTATTTATCTCTGCATTTATTTTTTTTTCTTTTTTTATTCGTAATCACATTATTACAAACACACACACGAGACACGACGCGACACGTCTATATCGATATCTACCTCGTTCAGTAGTTTGTTGTCTCTTCTTCAATTTTTATCTATTTTTTTATTGTTGTTGTTTTGTTGTTTATTTCATACTCCGTTTCTTCATCTTCATCATCATTCTCTCGTATTTCTTCGTCTTTTATTTCTACGACTCGTATAAGTTTGTTTTTTTGTTTTTTTTTTTGTTTTTTTATTTATTTTTTAGTTAATATTTTTGCTTTATTCCGTTTTTTTTTCTCTTGTTTTCTTTTTAATTTAATTTTTTTTTTTAAAAGTAGGTTTTTTTTTTTCTTTTTTATCGCTCTCTGTGTGCTAGGCTAATTAACGCGCACGTTCTATTTGTTGTTTCTTAGTTGGCAAGAAAATCGAGGGGGTATAAGTAGATGAATAATATATATAATAATATTAATAATAATTTTAAAAAAAGGGCAAAATAATAAGGAAGAATTTTCATTAGCTCGTGAATGAAAATAAACAATTTATCTTATTTTCTTCTCTTTTTCTTCTTCATATTTCGATTTTCATTAGTTTCTACCCTCGTTTTTCAAGCCACGTGGACCTACTCACGCACACACATACATGCATACATAACGGACACGAAAAAGAAATACGATTAGTCGCTTGCTTTAGTCGTTATTCGGCTTCACGACAGAGACAGACGTGTCGAACCTGTTTTTACTTCTTCGTCTATGTGTGTGTATGTCTACGTGCATCTTACACGTACCATATACGCACTATCGGGGATCGAAAGAATGTATTAATGAATGAAAGAACGAACGAACTTACAAATGAATGCATGAATGAAAAAAAATGATTGAATGAATGGATGAATGGATGGATAAAAGAATGAATGAATGAATTACAAAGAGAGAGAGAGAGAAAGAGAATGAGAAAGAAAGTACAATACCTGTGTACAAGTTTATCCGTTATATGTAGGTATGTATATTTTTATCCTTCAGCATTGTGTATATATATGTACGTCCGTATGTATTTTCTTTTTTTTTACTTTTGTTTTATACACAGGTGAGTTTCACAAAAATATATAAAAGAGAGAGCGCTATGTGTACATATATATATATGTGCATATAATACCTATATATAATCGATTTATATATATATATATATATACTTCAGGTTGCTTGAAAAAAGTATATTTATGTGTGTACATCTGTTTTATCTGTATGATGTGTGCGCGCGCACGTACGTAACGTGTGATTGACTTCGTTCAAATCAATTCTCTCCCTTTTTGTTTCTTTTCCATTAAACTTATCTAAACAAATTTTATTGAATTTACAATCGATCATTCAAATGTAACACGTACATGTTATACGTACACGCGTATTTTTGTGTATCTCTGTTGTGTGTGTGTGTGTATATATATGAGTACGCGTGTGTCACAGTCAAATGGTTTTTCTCTTTTTTTGACTCGATAACTTAATCTCACTTACTTTCCTATGTTTCCTTTTTCTTTTACACTCGTGTCATTATAAAAGAGTCCTTCTTGTCTTCTCATTCGCTTATTCTTACGTCTTTCTTTATAAAGTGTTTTTAGGCTTTGGGACGTTCACGAATGAACAGCACCCTCGTATATTTTATACGTACATATATACAAAAAAAAAATTAAAAATACTTTATTAGGTAGATAAAAAGAGAAAGAGTGATGGGTAGAGTGAAAGAGAAATAGAGAGAAATAGAGAGAAAGAGAGAAAGAGAAAAAGAAATTACATGAAAGTTATACGAAGAAAAAAGAAGAAGACACGACAGTGAAAATGCAGATCAAAATAGCTCGAGGATGGAAATGTGAATGACTTCGAACAATTTTCATATTATTTGTTGGTTGTTATTTTTGTTTTTCTTTCGAGGTATGCAAGTAAACGTACATATATGCACGTATATGTACGCATACTTGCAACTCTATATATATAATGTATCTTTTTGTATATATATATATATATATATATGTATATGCTATTTATGCACACACACACACACATACACACGCACAAAACGTTCCTTCCTCATACGATGATAACTCTCGAATGAAACGAATGGGAGAGATCGGGATTCTTTTTCTTTCTTTTTCATATTTTTTTATACAAGAAAAAATACACACACGCGCGCACGCACACACACACACACACACACACATACACAGACGACGCGTACGGTTTTGTTAAATCTTTCGACGACGTTCGATGTCGTCGTTTAAGATTTAGGATGGGGTTAGGGGGAGGGGGTTGGGTCTAGGGGCTGCTCCTTGACGTCCCAAAGTTTTGCGATCGTGATGGTCATCGTAGAGAGAACCGGTAAGCTACACGATACGTACGTACGTACTTACAAAAAATTATTTCAAAAAACACAGATATACGCTCCCCTTTATTTCTTCCCTTCTTACTTCTTCTTCTTCTTCTTCTTTGTTATTATTATTATTATTATTATTATTATTATAATTATAATTATTATTATTATTATTATTAGTAGTATTATTATTATTATTACAATTATTATTATTATTTTTTGTTCTTTATCAATTATCGCTTTTTTCTTCTTATTCTTTTTTTTCTCCTTATTTTTATCTTCATGTTCTCATCTTCTTATCTTCATTTGCACCGATACGGTGTGCGTGTGCGTGCGTATGTGTAAAACCTGTACAAAGTGCTCGAGATTGAAAATTTGTATTTTTCCTTTCGTATTTGGTTGTGTAAAGCAAGACACACGAGGTAAAGGTTACAACATTTTTTGTTTATTATTTTTTATGTTTTGTTTTTAGATGTACGTAGTAGTTCCGGACACACTACGACGATTCTCTTCTTTTCACGCGCACTCATAAGCTATGTCTTCTTCTCGGCCATTTTGGTACTCTCTTCCATTCATTCTCTCTCTCTCTCTCTCTCTCCCACTTTCTTTTCTTCTCTAGTTATTTTTGTCTTTTTATTAATTTTTGTAACATTTTGTCAACTTTTGTCTTTGTCGCCTATTTTATCCTTTCTTCCTTCTCATTCCTTCATTCCCTTCATTCATTTCGTTTCCATTATTTATTGGCCTCTTCTTCGATGCACTTTCTATCGATTTGAATCATTTGTCTTTTTGTTTCTATAATAATACCGGATTTTTTTGTTTTTTTTTTCTTTTAATCTTTTTTTGTTTTTTTTTTATATATTTTTTTTTTTTAAATATTTTCGTCTCTTTACTTGTTTATTCTATTTGTCTTTTGTTCACGTCTTCACTTCTTCTTGCATTTGCATTTTCTGTTTATTTTTTTCCTCTTTTTTACATCGAGGTACGAAAAGAGTTAGGTTTAGGGACGAGAGCAAAAGGGAGAGAGAGAGAGAGAGACAGAGAAAGTTAGAAAAGGGTAGAAAGAAAGTGAGGGTGAGAAAAAGAAAGAGGTGTTGCGAACGTGGGACAATTAAATTTCATTTAATTGATCTCGACGAAACGCTTTCGACATTTCCTCGTCTTTCCATTCTTTTTCTCATTTCTTTCATCTTCTCACTTTTCTCATGCCCCTCTTTGAGACTTTTTTTTCTTATTTTACAAACGAAACACAACTATCATTCTCTCTCACTCTGTCTCTCTCTCTCTCTCTTTCTCTCTCTCTTATTTCTCGTCTCTCTTTAATTCTACGATAATTAATTAAATAATCTTCGAATGAATCACACGGAGGCGTTGATTTCTTATCCGCTCTTGCGTTGTTTTGTTTTTTCTCTCATTTTTTTCGTTTTCTTCGTAATAATTTGTTTTCTTCTTCTTCTTCTTCTTCTTTGCTCTTTCTCTTCTTTTACTTTTTTTGTTTGATCACTGTAAATTATCAGACAGTAACTTCGGGGAAGGCTCTTTATTTTGTAGCTTTTCCATTATCCCGTTGTTTTGTTCTTGTTGTTGTTGTTTGTTTGTTTGTTTGTTTGTTTGCTTGCTTGCTTGATTGCACCTTAATTTTATTATACATATACGCTCTTCTCTCGAGCTTTCTTAATTATTGTATAGGGGCAATGGGAGGGGGTGATTCGATCACACATTTTGTCTCCGCGATAAGCCGATCAGTCCTTTGCGTTATTTTTTCTTTTTTTTTGTTTTTTTAAGTAGTTGTCCTTTTGCGGATAAGACAACTTCTTAATTCTTGAGAGCACCACGTGTAGCTACCCTCGGACCATGTTTCACCATGCCACTTCCAACATTCCTCGATTCTTCTTTTTTATTCTTATTCTTCTTCCCTTCATCTCTTTCCATTTCATTTTTTCTTATCCCACTAATTTAGACTCTTCCACCATTTTCCATCCACTCGATCCTCTCCTTCGTAAATACTACTACAAACTCTTATCCGTTCTTTTTTTCGTCTTCACGTTTTTCACGCGTTTGTTACACAGAATTAATTATCGACGAATAAAGGATATTTGGAAATATTTCGAAGGATATAACATTTATGATAAAATAAAAAAGAGAAAAAAAAGAAAGAAAGAGAGAGAATAATAAAAAGAGAGAAATATAAAGATAGATAAATAGATAGGTCGAGAAAAATAAACTAAATAGATAGAGACAAAAGGGAAGGATTCGCGTGGCTGACTGATATAATCCTGATAACGACGTTTTTGACTTGCACAGGAAGAACGGACGTCTTCGTTATTTGTTTTTCCTTTTTTGCTTGTACGTATTTTTTTCAATGGACGGGGCTCGCATAGGCTCGATGATGGACGCGTGATATTTCATCTCTTTTCTTGAACGACGAAGAAGACCGGAGGAGTTCAGGAATGATGGGCAGCATGATGACTTTAGACGCGTTAATTAGATGTAGGAATAAGGTCCGTCGGTGAGGGCGCTACACAGCAACAGTCAGGAGGCGTCATCCTTGCCACGGGCACCTCTGCTCGGCCTGTACTCTAGTCCTGGATCGAACTGCATCAGCACGAAAACCTGAACAATTTTTAATTAATCCAATCACTCAATTATATCTCACCCTTTAAACCCAATACAATGTTAGAAATAATTGAGCCGTTTATTTTGAAAATGGCATAAGTCACTTTTTCAAAAAAATCGAATTAATGGCAACACTAATTACAATTGAACGGTATCTTTTCGTTTAAAAAAAAAAAAAAGAAAAGAAAAATGCCACTTTCAAAATAAACGGCTCAATTATTTCAATAATTGGATAGATGTTTTAAACAAGAATTTATGTTATAAATTGCAAACTTCATAGGAGAGCCAACAAATATTACGACAAGTGAAATCATTGTTAATGGCAACATAAGCCTTTTTCTTTAAATACCAATTTAATTATTAAAAAGATATATAAATAAATATAATAAAGATTTATGTGACATGTTCCGTGACGCATAGGTAGCGTATAAGTTCTACTTTAAACTTAAGGTTTAAGATACTCGAAATTATTTTGATTCAATTACGATCCATGCGATTTAAACGGAAGATTATCGAACATTATTCTGATACAGAACGTATTAAAATGTTCTTTATATAAACAATTTTTTAAATTATTATATAATATTTTTAATATATGAATTATGTCCGCAAATATACCTGATCTGTGGGTAAAAGTGTGAAATCGTCCGGTGGATTTGTAATGACGTATCTTTTCGACGAAGCATCGCACGACGAACTTGTATCTCGAAACCTAAAAGATACGTTAATTCGTAAATTTCACTATTCTTTTACTCATAATCCTATGACATACACACATGAACACGCACTCACACGTTAGCTAAGCTAAACACAATGAACTCCACGAAATATTTTATTCAAATCTTTTTTAATATATGCTACGACAAATTTATTAAAAAGAAAGTGTTAATTAAAGTTACGTTAAATTAATAACAATCTATTTACTTGGAAAAAGTTAGTAAATCTATCTTAAATCGAATTGAGAGGTAAATTGAAATAAAATGATAAAATTGAAAATTAAAATAAGCTAACTATTTTAAGTTAATTTGTTAATAGCTAAGATTCTTTGGGATTAGACTAAAGCGTGTATATTTAATAAGCTAGAAAGCTTAATTTGTTAAAAGTATGTTAATAAATCATATTTCGAAGGAATATAATGGAAATCCTGAAGAAAGAATTAATAGAAATTATTAAAAAAGAAGAAAAAAGAAATAAAAGAAAAGTAAAGAAATATAATATAATAGAACTAAAACTATAACTAAAACTAAAAAAGGAATAAACAACTAAACTAACAAAGCTGGTTTGGTTTTTTGCGACATTAAACTAAACGCTAAACAAACAGATGACAATAAAAAATGATAGGTATTTTTTGGATGAAAAAACTCACGATCATCGCTTATTTTTCTTGTGACGTAAAAACGGAAAATGCAAAACTGTGCGACAGAAAATGAAAGAATCACGGAAGTAATTATTACAAGAATGATGTACGATAAAAATGTCATAGACTTTGGTAGCGATATATAATAATATATAATGTAGCAGCAATCAGAAAGATCATTGTAAGCCAGAATACATAGATTATCCAATAAATACCATCGAGAGAGGGAAAAAATTCCGGTACCTGTACCTGTACAGACCAATGCACAGCATTCCATACGATTTTAATGCTGCGACAAAGAGGTCACCGTACTTGCCTCCTTCGCCGTACTGAGCTAATGGCCCATCGTACAATGCGATTTGACCGACTCGACATCGATCTCTATTGGCTAAACTGTCCGCAGTGCTACAAAATCAAATTCAACAAATATAGTCATCACCGTGTAAATTATTATGCACAATCTGAATATAAAATTCTCAATTGGATATAATAATAAAATGATATAAGAATAATGTTTTGATCCATACTTAAATGTTGTTGATCATAAATAAATTCACCTGTAACCCCCTCTCAAACCGGCACCTTCTGCCAGAATTAATTCCAATTCGGGCGTTGCTCCACCGGTTATCAAAGAACGGATCAGAGTAAGCGCATTTTGATTGAAGTACGTCTGTAATATTTATAAAATAGAGAATGTTATTTGAAATAATATTTCGAATTATTATCGATTCAAATGATTCAATTTATTAACTTACCGTCGACATGAGCGAATCTAATACGCTCACAGCGAAAGCGGTACCGCAAGCGAACGGTTGTGTGAGGTAGAGTTCCGTGTCTGGGTCATCATCATCATCCTGATCAAGGAACTGAACGTTGCTGTCGTTTACGAGTTCTATAAATACCAGATGTATATCGTTATTATTGTAAATAATAATAATTTAATTTGATGCTTTAGTTTATACTTTTTTTTTTGTTATTCAGTTCTGGCATACTGGAAAAGTTGTCAATCATTTTAATTGTAATTATATTATTATTATTTGTATGCATTAATACCTGTGATCATTGGCACGTTGGCCCCGTAAACGGATCCTCGTCGCTGTAGAACAATCGGGCTGCCAACTGTGGTCAAATTACCTTGCTCATTATTTGCTGGAATTTTTACTCATTGTTTAATGATATCATTGATAACATACAAACGAGAATATGCAAACGATAAACTTGTGTGCAAGTATATACGTATAGATATGTATTTTTATCGTAATTAACACGCGCGCGCGCGCGCCTCGTCACGACCTAAATCAAATTGATAGGAATTTTCTAAAATAAAACTTTCCGTGAGTATTGATGTAATTCAACATGTTAGTTAACGAGATAATGTGTGAAGCGTAGGTAATAGAATTCTAAGCTCGAACAGCTTACCTTGACTTAACACGCCGATCGTGTCGTCGAACGTCATAGCCTTTATATTAAGGGATGCGAGGATGGCTTCCTTGTCGGCGAGGGTGGGGTCATCGTTGCTAGGCACTTTTGCCGACAGGATGCAACACATGTCGCATAGATTCACGTTTACTGCGCGCAAATCAGCTCTGCTCAACGGTGAACCCTATAAATCAAAGTATTATCAGTATATAATTATTATTATAATATTCATAGAGTGATATGCAATACTACAAGCAAGGTGATCTAAATGTCACTTAACCGAATTGAAAAATGATACATTTTTTTTTTAACAATACAGTAACTGGATATATCTATATGTTATAGTTAAAAAGAAAATATTGTAATTACTGATTTTTTGTTTTGTTTTTCTATTATCGATAAAGCAATATTTTTGTGACGACGTGCATTTTTGAAGCAATTAACTTTACAAAGTATCGGATCATCAGCTATTCAAATGTTTTTTTGTTATATCGACTCACGTTCAACACCGATATTTTTGGTAGGTTCTGCAACATTTTCCATTCGCGGCGGATGTAGTCCACAGACCCAACTATCACTACGTGTTTAAGCTCGTGGTAATGGAAATTGGAAGCTCGTAATGGCATAACAAGGTTTCTCAAGCCGATAAGAGGCGAGTCGGGATCGGCAAACAGGCAGACAACGACGTGTCCATTTAGAACTGTCATAGCCGCCTGATTACGATCTAATATGCAGTCTTCGAGGTTACGGGATGGACTCCAATGGAACATGCCCGTTGAGTCGTATTTCATTTCGGTCTTCTCAAAGTCGAAATCTTTCGCCTGATCGTCAGCGATACCAACTTGAAGACCACCGTTGTTGTTTACATTAGTGCCACCTGAGGCTCTACTCGTTGGCCTGAAAAATTAAAAACAAAAAATACAACCAGAATTAACGACAAGCTGGTATCAATTTTTTTTTTTTTTTAATCAATATTGTTTCCTTTTGTTTTTATTAATTTAATTATTTTATCGATATAGCATCGTACATAAGTTTTTTCACTTCGTAGGCAAGATGGTAGCCGGCATACGCGGATTCTTCTTGCGATCTGAAAATTAATAAACAACGATATTATTGTTAAAGATTAAAAAAAAGATGTCTTTTTTTTATAAAAAAAGGAGACTCTAATGTGAGTAAATACCTTTGATTATAAGGCTGATTGGGACTCGACAAACTATCGTTCGTAGCTCGATTCACGTTCGGTTTCACTTTGTTCACTTGCTTCGTCGAATTCATCATAGTCATTCCGACAGAATTTCGATGATTCCTCATAGCTACAATAGATAAAACGTTAGGCATTTATGTTAAGTACAAACATATCTAAACAATCGAAATTGAGAATCGTATTCCATATATCTGAAATTGACCATACATATCAAGAAAATCAAAGAGAAATAGAGAGAGAGAGAGAGAGAGAGAGAGAGAGAGAGAGAGAGAGAGAGAGAGAGAAAGTTCAGTATAATTAAAACAAAATTAAAACTCACCGTTCGGATCTTCTCGTTCACGATTAATTTCACCTAAAATATATAAAATACTATTAATTTTATTCACGATCAATGATCTAAGAGTGAACGATGATTGGCCGCATTAATGCCGGTGTGACGTATAAATAAATAACATATTATTTAAATTCGCAAAATTTTGATAATATAATTTTACTTCTATTTCGATTTTTTTTTTTGTATGTGCAAATTTTTGTTTATTTTCACAAATAACCAGCAATAATGGGCCATTATAATTACACGATTATCACATTGTTCGCGATCTAATACCCCTCCCCGTTTTTATTGCGCATATTACTTTCATGGATAAAAATCCTACAGAGCCCCATGCTTACAGGCGCGCATAACTCAGCCTAAACACATGTAATTTATAATATATATATATATATATAGTTGTTAGTACGTGCCAGAAAAACCAACAAAAATAAATAGTACGGCCAATGCTCGAAGCCTGACATTTAAGTATTTCAATATTTACGAAGCAGCGTAGTAATTACACGTACGTCTTCTTCTATATAATTTATTTATTTATTTAATAATTTATTTTATTCCTCTTTTTCTCAAATTTTTACAAATAATTTCAACATTATTTTTACGAGAAGACGCACGTTTTTCTATCACAGCGAGCGATTAACAAAGTTTGACGTGTATGCACGTCCTTTCAATTTAAACATCGAATTTTTAATAATTTCGAGCGTATTGCGATAAGAATAAAAGAAGCGCACATACATGTAATATATGCGAATATATAATAACAATAATAATCAATAATAATAATCAATAATAATAATCAATAATAAATAACCAATAATAATAATAATATTAATAATATACGTACGTTTATAGTATGTATGTATGTGTTTAAGTAAGGAAATCTTTCACAATTTTAAATAAATGCATTCGTCGATAACTTAAGTGGAAATAATGAAGAAGTAATACACGACGAGCCTACAACACGAAGCGCTCTTCCATGCATTAAGAATATTACAAAAAGGAAATTAAAAAAAAAAGAAAACAGAATTGAAAAGAAAAACAAAGAAATTAAAAATAAAAAACTCAAGGTAGAAATAAAAAATTCCTAACTAAAATCTTGTATCCTCCAGTGTCAGTCGGTTCGTGTATCGATGGAGATTGATTTCACCAGTAATGAAAATATTCTGTTGTTTATTTGAAAAAGTCTCGGATAATATGAGGAATAAAAATATAGAAAAAAAATATTAAAAAAAAAAACCAAGAATATCATACTTTAAGGAAGCTCTTAAGCACAATTACGAAACGTTGTACGTTCGATTGAAGATATTTGATTTTGCAAGAAGCCGCACACATCATTGTTACGATATCGTTAAATTAATTATTATTTGTAGGCAGAGCAATGAAAAATAACGAAAAAGCGATTCACGTACGTCTCTTTTGTTAATTATTTTTTTTCTTCTCGGAGAGAGAGAAAATTTAGATAGATAATTAGGTAGATAAAGATAGATAGAAAGATAGAGAGAAATAGAGAGATAGATAGAGAGAGAGAGAGAGACAGAAATAGACATTTTTTTTTTCGACATCATGCTTCTCCGTTATTAATTATTTAAATGTAATATTTTGTTTATCGCGCTCGTTGACGTTCGGAAAGGCAGTTTGCGAGACTGTAGCATGGATTTGATTGAGGTGTAACTGTACCTCTCAGGTGAACCATCTTGGGCAGTTCTGGCGGAGTGAATGTGGGGGGAGGATGGTGGTCGTCTGCAACAAACCACTACACATGTTAGCTACGCTAACTAATTAACTAACGCCTAAACTCGCTACTCTAGAGAACTAATCGCTAAATACATCGGAAACTATGCTTGCAAACTTTTCTCCATTTCGCTCGAAAACTCACCCTTCGTTCCATTTAATTGAAAACACATATATACATACATACAATTGTATATATACATATATATGGTTGTACTGATTTCAAATCGATTAAAATATTCTTTTATTTGGTACGACATTTAAGTGAGTTTTCAATCGAAGTTGTTACTAATTTCTACGTCACTTTTACTATTACTTTTATTACTACCACTACTATTACTTTGTTACTATTATTAACTACTGTGCTAATATATATTATTTACGAACACGAACATACATAAATATAGATAATCATAACTTAGGTTAACTACATTGCCAAAAACAGTTCGCATAAACAAGGACGAACAAGACAAATTCATATCATTTTTTTTTTTCGTAATTGCAAATACAAAGGTTCTATTGTATTAATTATGCAAAGATTCGTGAAGATGCATAGTGGAATTAATTAACGAAAAAGTGAGAGAGAGAGAGAGAGAGAAAGAGACAGACAGATGGATAGATTGATAGGCAGATAGATAGATAAATAGATAGATAGATGGATAGATAGACAAATAGGCAAAGGGAAAGTTATAACAAAAAATAGGGAGAGAGAGAGAGAGAAGAAAATTAGACAGATCTAAATCGTCCATGTTATACCAACATATTTCTTAAATACGCTCACAAGCTGTGCACTGTGCATTTTGGTACTTATCGCTTCTATCATGCATTGGCTGGCAAGCTTTATACCGTCAAATATATTTGCATTTATGCTCGCATGCGAAATAAAATTTTATTTTTCTAAAAGTTGACAACCCGTAGATGTTCCACGATTATTTTTATTTTTATTAATATTTTATTTTTTTATCTTCATTATTTCAAACTTTCTTCGTTCCTTATGGTTAATTTTTTTATTTTTTAAATATTTTTTTCTCATATAGAATTTTCGAGAAAAATAGCACAAACAAATTTCCGTGATTTTTATTTAATTTATTTATTTATTTATTTAATTAATTATGTATTTATTTAATTAATTAATACCTTCGACGAGCATACATCGAAGGAATACGTTGATTTTTTTTAACACACTTTATTGCTTTAATTTTCTTTATCTTTTTCTTGGCCATTATTACTTTTTTTTCTTCCTTTTCCTCCTCCTCCTCCTCCTCCTCCTCCTTCACCTTCTCCTCTTCCTTGTCATCACAGTGCACGCGTCGCGTTATTAAGTGCAAGACCTTTTTATGCACCCAAGGAAGGAATTGACGTGCAGAAAAGTAGACATTCGAGCAAAAGCTCTGTGTGTATGTTAGAGAAAAAGAGAGAATAAAAAAAGAGAGACAGAGAGAGAGAATGAGAAAGTGGGGGGAGGTAGGATGGGGGTTGATAAAATCTTTGAAAAGAGTGCTTGAAAAGTATACGCACAAACACATGAAGAGAGAGAGAGAGAGAGAGAGGGAGAGAAAGAAAGATAGATAGATAGATAGACAGACAGACAGACAGAGAAAGAGAAAAAGAGGTATTTAGAAAGATGGACAAACGGACAGAGATAGTTTGTATCGTGTGAGCAGCGGAATCAAAGGAGAAAAATAAGAGTCGTTTTAGTCGTCGGGGGTTGCCGTGAAACTCTCGTCGTCGAAGTCGAGTGACGAATTATATAATTATTGTCTCTTCTTTTTCTTTATTTTTTTTTTTTTTTCATTTTTATTTCTTTTTCTTCTATNTTTTTTTTTGTTTTTTTTTTTTTGTTTTTTTTTTCTTTTTGTTTTCAACTTGCTCGTTAATTCTTCGTTTTCCTTCTTCGTGCTAATTTTTAAAAAAAGTTTTTTTTAAGTACGTGTATATTTATTTCTTGTTATTTTTTTGGTACTTCTTTTTGCCATGATCGTTCCTACGCATGTACTACGTTTGCTGAGTCATGGTGAATTGTTAATATTTTTTTATATTAGCCGTATGCTAAGTATTGCGCGCGTGAAAGTTCCAAATCGTACACGTTTATCGGATTGAAATGATATTTCGTGATACATTAATTTGTTGGTTTTGTTTTCCTTGAAATTAAATATTTTGTTTATAAATTGCAATTTGGAAATTTTATATATTTGTTTAATTATTTTATTTACGACGATAAGATATTTTCTAATAAACGTGAGAAACGTGGAACTCAATTTAGATTTAGCAATATAATAACAGCATTGCTCAATGTTACTTTGTGATTAGCTTTGTTTTAGCCTACTTCTCTATATCAATTGTGCTGCGTTAATTATATCGTAATCTTTCTCGTTGAACATTGGCACGATCGCGTTCTGTGATTATATTATATATTAAAGATATCTATATATGTGTATGAATATATATATATATATATATATATATATATATTTACAAATATATATGTATATAAGTATGGATGTATAAAGTGAAATCATAGAAGTATTCGTACCTGCTCTCACTGCAAATTTGAAATAATTGATATTTGCTTGTAATGCAAAGCTTCAAAATATTTATACACAGAAGTCCTATCTTAGGATTATTAAACTTTCAAATTGATATAAATTTGATTGTAAGGAATATATATTTTATTATTATAAAAATATAATTTTACTCTTAAGTGATTATAAATTGATCTAACAAGAGTATTTCCATCTTCATAATATATAATAAAAATACAATGATTATTTTTTTGTAAGTAGTATACTTGGTTGACCCTCCTTTGTATCTTATAATACTTTTCAGACGATTGGGCCGATTTTCTTATCAGTCATATATAATTTTATTCCTTTTAGAATCAAATGCTTTTTTGCAATCAAATTCATATCAATTTAAAAGGTTAATAATTTTAAGATAGGGTTTATGTGTATACAAATTTTGAAATATTTCATTATAAGAAAATATTGATTGTTTTAAATTAACAAATTGGGTACGAATACTCCCGTGTGGTTCACTATATATTTAAATATTAAATATACTCCCGCTGAGACAATTTGACTTACTTGGGTACGAGTAGTCTTCACCTATGCGGGTAGATTGGAGGACGAGAAGAGAGTTTTCGAACAGATACAGATGCGAAGAGTTAGTTAGATTAATGATCACTATTTTTACATATGCTTATTATTGTTTCCTAGTATATAGACTTATTATTTGTGCTTGTGTTTTTTGCATAAATATGCATGTGTATTTATGTATGTATTACGTTTTGATTTAATGATAATGACGATGACGATGATGATGGTGATGATGATGATGATGATGATGATGATGAGAGCACAAAGTTCGTAAAATCAGATCAAATCAAACAACATATTATGTTAATGAAGATAAAAGTTTTGGAATTCTTTTCTTTTTGTTTTGTTTTGAATGATTTTACGAACGTTTTTATATTAAATGGTAACAGGTGTGGTGGATTCCTACGAGGAAATGTATATTGTGAAAACGATAGATGGTACGTTTGTATAAGTGCATGTATGAGTCAGTCTCTGCGAGTACTTTGTGTGATCAGACGTACAGATAGATCACGTATGTTTACACACCTAGTACAAGGGAACACTCGTATCGGATATACCCTAGGTATGTATTCTATGTACAACACGTATTTCCCTGCTTTCGAATGGATTTAAAACGACATTGACAACGAGATAAGAAAGCTTTACTTTCAAACTTCCCTAGCTTTTATTATCCACACCCCCTCTCCACTTCCTTTTGTATCTTTTCATTTTTATTTGTATTTTTATTTTATTTATTTTTTATTTTAAATTGTCGAATCCTATTATTTCTGGTCTGGTTCCTTTCCCTTTCTAACATTAACGTTGCCGGTGATATCTAATTTCTTCTTCTTTTTTTCATTTTCTTGCGAATATTATAATTTTTGATTGTATACCAACGTTAAGGAGCTTTTTAAGACTAAACGATTATGGTTTATTAAGATCGATATTTGTAATATTATATTTACACTCTTACAGAACACTCGTGCGCATATCGCGTAAAACACGTTCAAACTAACTGCAAGTTTTCTATCGATTCGTTCGAAAAGATATTCCATTGAGTATGTATAATTATATATGTACACCAAAGTTAGGATAATAGACAATTCCAAAAGATTACTACGTGACTATGATAAGTATTATATATAGTATAGTATATTATATAATGCAGCGAGTAGAGAATTTAACACACATGTAATAACACAATCAATGTTAACACATACGACAAAGGTCTAAATGAACGAAAAGAAAAAAGAAAATCAAGAGAAGTAATTTTTTTTTTTCGTTCGAAGAGCGTTCTGTAAAATGTCGAAAGCAATTCACGTACAATTCAATCTCGAGTTCTTTTAAGAGTTAATGATTATATTGATTAATTAACAACGATTAAATGCTACAAGAATTAGGAATAAAAAAAATAAAAGAAAATAATTACTTTGGGACTTTGTTAACGGTCGTTGTCATTGTTTTAAGGAATAAGAGAGAAAAAGATAGATTAAGAGATAAATAGAACGATAACTAGATTTAGACAAAGAGAAAAAGAGAGATATACAAAAGAACTAACAGAAAGTAGATACGAATAAACAACTAACTGGTCTAAATATATATTTATAGATATATATGTTCTAAGCACACGTCGAATAATAATAATAATAATAATAATAATTATAATTATAATCATAAACATCAAATCGATCCAACGCGAATCTAATAAACAAATGATTAATATTAAATCCGTACACGTGTTTTGTATATACGTACATAATACATAAATCTATGTATGTATAATAAATATATACCGATGAAATTTCATGATCCACTTTTACAACAATTAACCATCTTGAAACATTTACAAACCATTATAATATATAAAAACTACATTCATATATAAAAAAAAAAGTACACATCGATGTATAATAATATTAATAATAATAATAATAATAATCATTTCGATAGCAAAAAAAAAGGAAAATACAGCATTACACCAATACAGGGCTCAAAAAAACACTAAACTGTATTCTACACTTGGTTCTGTCATATCGTTGCCATACTGAAAGATTATATTAAAATAGAGATAGAATATGAATTAATTAGCAGAACGAAGGAAGAAACAAGGATAATTCATTTGAACTTTGCTCGGAACATCTTTTCAGTTCCTATTGTTGTAATTTATTTCATTTTTTAATTTAATTCTTTTTACAAGGTCGTTTCACTTCGTTGTGCTAATCGTTTCTCGTGTTGATTACACGTTAGCATCTTATTCCTTCGTTGATCGTTTCGTCGCTTATAAATTAGAAACGATGAAGAGAGTGAGTATGAGAGAGAGAGAGAGAGAGAGAGAGAGAGAGAGAGAGAGAGAAAGAGAAAAAAAGAGAGAGAGAGAGAGAGACAGAAAGAAGAGAGATATAACTTGCGAGACGTAAGCCTTAACGAACGAATTAATCTGCATAATGGAAAGGTCAAGTTGAGTTGGTTGTTTACTCGTTCCACCATTTCGTATTTTTCCGTCGTTTCGTTAACGCCTACGATAAAACTAGCCTGTCTTTAGTGAAATCGATCGAAATTTGTATTCGAATGACAACGATCGTTACACTACGTTTGTGTGACTGTTTTGTAGAAATTACCATTCGAATCGAAGGATATGAAAAGAAAGAGAAAAAGAGAGAGAGAGATAGATAGATAGATAGATAGAGAGAGAAAGAGAGAGAAATCATTTTTGTATTAAAAGAAACAATGTATGTATCTTTCGATTCAAATAGTATCGATCTATTTGATTGAAATCTATTTTTAATATAAAGTACGGTGACTAGTGAATTATTTAGATTTTTTTTTTTCATTAAAATGAACTATTTTTTGTTTTTTTTTTTTTAATTCGTTTTAATTCTTACTAAATTATCTATAATTTGTTTTTGATATATATCACACGTTTAATAAATTCACGCAAATACGCGTATGACTTGATGGTAATTTGTTAAATAAAACTGTTTTCATAGCAATTCGTAATATTAGTTAAACGAAGTGTGTTAACAGTCAGAGATGACTCAAGAGAATTATAAAGAAAAATAGAAAAATGTTCTAACAAGCAAGGATGACTTCATAGTGCAAAAAGTTAATTCCATTTGATTTCTGTTAGTTTAAACGAGTCCACGAATCACCGTTACATATATATTCCCGTCACGTTACTATCTGTAGAATTAATCGATTGGATATACATATGTGTATAATATATAGGTATCTGTAGATAAATGAAATTATAGATGATAGAGAGAAAGGAAGAAAGAAAGATAGATAGATAGATAGATAGATAGATAGAGAAAGTGAGAGTGAGAGAGAGAGAGAGAGAGAGAGAGAAAGAGAGAGAGAGAGAGAGAGAGAGAGAGAGACAATCTATATTGGGGGATACATACTTGCTCTTCCGACCATTTGAACAGCTCGCACGCCTTTCCGGAATGTGGCCACTGCCCGGAGGGAGGAGAACCAGAGCTGTTAGTTGTCACACCAAAATAATGTCAACCTATATACGAGGTTTACAATGCGTGAAGGGAAATCCGAGGGTCTAAAGATCGACGTGTGTCGCTGTCGGTATAGATTGAAAAAAAAAAAAAAAAAAGGAAAAAAAAACACACACACACACGAAGGAATAAAAATCTAAATCTATCGTATATTAAATTAATTCTTGATAATAACATTTCAATATTGAATATAATAATAATTGCTTCGAGATTAATTGAAAGTACGATCGATTAAATTTCTTCCACGTGGACGTTCGATGTAAATTAAAACAATATATCGATATCGGCATTGTCACATTTAAATTAAAGAATTAATTCTTTTTGTTGTTCTCTCATATAGACCCCACTTATTATAACATCAGAGATATACGAAGAAAGAACATTTGGCATTTTGTTTAAAATGCATGTGCACAATTAATTTCTACGAAAAGTGGTGGAACTGGGTGTGATCTCTGTTGTACGTACAAATATTATTATTCGTAGACATTTAAATTGTTTGCTCTCTCAGCGGATAAAATGGGCCTTTCTAGTTTGCTAGATATTCAGACCACGTAAGACGAAGTTACGCAAATGAGGAAATTGTTGGATAAGGTTATAAGGGCGGAGGGTAAGTGGTTGAGGTTTGTTTGACACAAATAACACAGGCATGACGAGCCGAATAATTTCTTCTACTCAAAAAGTATGGATTAATAATTAAAAGAAATATTATAATCGTTGCTAACTTTCTTACAAGTGACTTGTATTCTTTACGAATCGAGTTGGTAAAGAGCTCTCGAAGGGTATACAAACTCTTCTCGTTTGAATCTCGAGTCAAAGAAGTAGTACGGACTAAGTAGACACCTGAGAGTCGACCACTTAAGGAACCTTCATCAATGCTTGTCAGTTACGATTGAAAAGACTAACAGAGATTAGAACGGTGTGTGTCGATGTTATGATTTATTATTGTTTATGTAATAATCGCTTAATGATTTTTAATGTTGATGCTGATATACGATTAAATATGTGTCGATGTTCATGTATTATAATAATACACACGTCGTAGGTATATTTATGTATTACTTTATAGTATGCTGATCCATTGAGAATGTTTCGTATTTCTAATACAAAAAGTATTAGTATTAGATATTTTTCAAAGTGGGTGTGTTTGATAAACCCTGGGCATCGATAATGTATTTCGAAAAATCTCGTCTTTTATTTTTTTCATATTTAATAAGGACCATAAGATTATTCTTGCTTGAGAAGAAAATAATAATAGTAATAAGAAGAAAAAGAAGATGAAGAAGAAGAAGAAGAAGAAGAAGAATAAAAATAGGTTACAGAGTTGCACGACGATGAGAGATCGTCATCCAAAGGCCTTTGTGTGTCAGAGTTTTATGAACGTGTCTCAAGTCAAGGTTAATGGATGCTTCTAATTTTACATACATACATACATACATACATACATACATACATACATACATACGTTCATACCTAAATACTATCTATACATATTACATAGGATACACTTGGGAACTATGAGGATAAGATCGCAATTAACCATCATAATTTGTTAAATGGTTGCTCGTACACACATCGCGCTGGTAAATAAGACGTTATGAGGGTCCTATCAAAGTTTATATAGATAGAAAGAGAGAGAGAGAGAGAGAGAGAGAGAGAGAGAGAGAGAGAGAGAGAAAAGAGTGGGATGGATAATCGATAGATTTTATGACTCGCTTGTTACAACTAGAACGATCGTATATTGGCAACGCCTTGGTCAGAGCTGATTTGCTAAAGTCTATTAACAATTAATACGCTGTTATTGCGATTTACGTAAATACATATAACACATTATAAAGTATAAATATACTATTATTTTGTTGAGAGAAGAACATTATAATATAAACGATTAGAATTAGAATAGGAAAGGCTTAGAAATGCATGTACATTAGAATGAACGCGCCGATTCGAGTATTCGCTTTTGAATTTATTTTCTTTTCCTTTATTTTTCTTTTTAGGTATAATATAAAAAGAAAGTATGATCGAATCGGCGTGGTCAAAGCTGCGGCAAAGGTTTAGCTGGGGAAAAGAAAGGGGAAAAAATAATTAAAAAAATATATAGAAGGAAATTTTGTAGTACGCACAACAATTAGCGTGATAGTGTTATCAGAAATTCGTGTTAACTTATTGTTATAGTTTATATTGAACGATTAAAGTGAAATCAGCCGATCGAATTAATTCGGCGAAAGCACACCGAAGCGACGATTAATTACAACAATTAATAGCAAGCCTGTAAATGTAATGAAAAACAAAATAAATTGAAAAAAAAAAAAAATAAAATAAAAATAATCTAACAAAACGAATTAATCAAATAGTAAAACTTAAAAAACGGGCAATAAGTTTTCGTCGATCAGTGATACGTCGCAGGCACTAACAATATGTGTAAACACAGAGAGAGAAAAATAGAGAAAGATAGAGTAAGAAAGAGAATCATATAAAAATGTTCGAAGTAACAACATGCTTCAGCATGAAATAATTTGCGCATTTTTATTTTTTTTATGTATATATATATTTTGTTGCAGATTAATCTAACATAAGCGAACTTTTTTTTTAGTTGTCTCTCACGCGTCATTAACCGACTCGTTTTAATTAATCTAAAACATTTTAAATTTGATTAAAATAAAAAAAGAGAAAAACAATAGCGATTATGATGCTTCGAAGATACTCGAGACACTGCTATACTAATAGCTCTTGCAAAAGCCGAATAAATCATACATTACGAATTGAAATAGTATCTCAAGTAACGAAGTAATGGAACAAATTCTTACAGATAAGATGAGGTAAACGATTATTACTTACTTCATCTTGTCTGGAATTGTTTTTTTTTTCTTTATAATGACACATACAAAAACTTTGTGTGCGAATTCAATCATTTTTGGTGAAGGTGAAACGAAGAGAAAGAGAAAGAGAGAGAGAGAGAGAGAGAGAGACATAAAGAGAAAAGTTAAGGAACGTGAAGGAATCAGGTATAATGATTTATAAGAACAATAAAAATAATTTGTCAGAATAATTTAACAATTGAAATTTGTCGATCAATACAATAATATTATAATTATTATTATTATTATTATTATTGTGTTATTTTAATTCTGACAAATAATATTTTTTGAATAGGATAATTGTAAGGATTGGAAAAGGGGAAACAAGAGGTTGGTAGAAACAGGCGTACCATCTAAGTAACTGCTGTAGGCAGTGTTTCCCTTCACCATGCCAGTCTGCATCATCATCATCCCCACATCTGGAAAAATTCAGCGATCGACCCGGAGGCGGGTTCGTAAATAGAGATCAAGAAATAGAGACAAAAAGGGGGATTGAAGGCTGTGTGCATCTAGGAGAATATTATTTAAACATATAGACACAATCGTTAGATCTTTACGAAAATCAATAAAGATATGTGCGTACGAGAAGACGAGAACACGCTAAAGGTAGAAAGATACAAAAGTGGAAATGAGTAAACTTCTAAAAAGCTTCGAATTAGTATACTTACAATTAGATTAGATCGAAAAAAAAGAAAGTAAGAAAGATAGAGAGAGAGAGGAGAGATAGAAATAGTGAGAAGTAGATCAACCGAAAAAGTTAATAAATTTTAATAAAAAAGAAAAGCTTTTGAGAAGTTTATACTTTGAACATTTAGGATCAGATATATTTTATGACAACACGACGGTTGGAATACTTTCCTGACGATTACGCTGTCAAAAGGGATTTGTAAAAAAGAAAAGAACGAATGAAAAAAAAAAAGAACAATCGAAAAACAATATATGAACAGAGATAATCGTTAAACGTTGAAAAATGGACGATAGGAATTACAAGTTCGACGATTACCTTCGACGTTCTCTCATATTCTCTTCGAGACTTTCGATACCTGGAATAATATAATTAACTGAAACCTTAGGAGTTAGTTGACCGATAGTTTAACGAAAATCGTCTCATTGCCCAGGGTTTAGGACAACGTTTAAGTGTTCAATGTGAATTGTGTGATCTTCGTAAACAGATTTTGTTATATTTAACGATCTTAATTAAATACAACGATACGATGTCCGATTACATTTTTAATCGATTTAGATTTATTATCTATAAAGAATAGGGATTGCGGCAATTAGGGTTGTGAAAATTCCTGTCCATTCGTTGAATCGAAAATATCCTATTACGTGTACTTAAAATGTACGTGGTGTGTGTGAGAATGCGTGCATGTGAAAGTCGAGTATTTCAATTTTCGTTCCTCTTTCTCTTTAAAAACATACTTTAGTGTGATTCATTGGCGTGATTGCAACCGACGACGACGTAATATCGTTTGAATTTTATAACAAACCACAGTATTTTTCAAAGATATTATCATTTTTCGATCTCGCGCGCAATACGAAATCGAATTTGACTTTTTATCGGCGATAATTTCGCTCGATTTAGAGTAGGGTAGATTAAGATGAAACAGAGAGATAGAAAGATAGAAATAGATAGACAGAAAAAGATAGTTAGAGATAGAGAGAAAGAAATATAGTAAGAGAGAGAGATACAAAGTGGGGGTGTGGAGAGAGATAAGAGATGAAGGGAAAAGTTAAAAGAAATGGAAATAAGGATGTAGAAATGAAAAAAAGAGAAGGAAAAGAAATACGAAATAGAGAAAGACAGATAAGGGAAAGAGAGAGAAAGAGAGAGAGAGAGAGAGAGAGAGAGAAAATGTGATGAAGAGAAAAAATAGAGATTGTAGATTGCAGAGGGTATAACTGTTAACAGTAACATTACGTGAAGCTATCATACTGTAGTAAGTATGAATACCAAGTAAGTGCCAAATCCATACCAAGTAAGGCGTTAAAGAAAACCGTATCGGGAACTATAGTCATGCATGCAAAAACGAACGAACGAGAAGAGCACACACTATAGTGCAGGCTAATTTTTTCAGTGGGATAGTCAGGTGGTCATGCCAGGCCAGCTGACAAATGTATTAGAGAATCACGTGTCTCACTTGTGTCGTATAAATCGGTCAATTTATTATGATCTTAGAATTATTATTTATTAGAAAAATTCATCGAACTATCGATCATTCTGTTCGTTCTCAACACATTTCCTTTTTTTATTTTATTGTTTAAACAAATTTTCCACCTCGAAGAATTGTAACGATAAAAAGTTAAACGTTTGTGTGTACTTGTAGAATATAAATTAAAAAAATTTGATACTCATCGTAAGACAATATTATTGCATTGTGTTCTTCGTCATCGTGGTCATTGTCGTCGTCGTTGTCGTCGTCATTGTAGTCATCATTGTTACAGTCATTGTCCTTGTTCGACAGCAATTTAAAAATTATTGCTTCGATTTGCATACTTCTTTCTCCTTTTATTTTTTTTTTTTGATCACGCAATTAAATTTTGCTCATTGTCTCACACACACACACACACACACACACACGGGTGCGCTCACACGCACGCAAATTTGAGTGGCTAGTTAGAAATTTAGAAGCATTCGCATTCTCGTGGGGCACAGATAGGAAAATGTACAGAGAGAGATAGATAGATATAGATATAGATATAGATACAGAAGATAAAGAAAAACAGTAACAGAGAGAGAGAGAGAGAGAGAGAGAGAGAGAGAGAGAGAGAGAGAAAGAGATAGAGGCAGGGTAGGGGGAGGAAGTAACAAGAAGAAGAAGAAGAAGAAGACAGAGAAAGAGCGAGAGAAAGAGAAACGGGAAACTTGCAGGTAGTATGCCATATACAGATAGACATTTCAAACAGAAGGGTTGTAAAAACGCAAGTAGAAAATAGAGACAAATAGATACAGAGAAAAAGATATAGCATAGTCAGGATAGTGATACAGCAGAGAAGAAAAAGAAGAAGAAGAAGAAGTAGAAGAAGAAGAAGAATAACGATCTTTTGGCCAGTATAGTGTAAAAGAATAGGAGAATAAGAAAGAAATCTTTTGCAGAAAAGGGTAGAAGAGGGTTCAAAGAAGAAGATAACGACGAAATGAACAAAAAAGAAATGAAACAATTGTTAGACGACAGGGTGAAAGAATGTCTATTATCAGACCAAGCGAGCGTGTGTAAGACGTTACCTAAGTCCCGGCCCCAAGAGCGCTGCTGCTGCCCCACTAAATCATATATGATAAATAAAGTGGTCATAATTATGTCACACGGTTAATCGTCGCAGTTATTACTGAAACGTCTCTTAATATAGTACACAAACATAATAGATTATTAAATATAAAGGATGGATTTCTCGTTTTGAGGGTTGATTGTTAGAGAATAAAAAAACAGAAAGAAAGAAAGAAAGAGAAAGAGAAGGAGAAAAAGAGAGGGAAGCACGAGAAAGAGCAAGAGAGAAAGAGAGAGAGAGAGAGAGAGAGAGAGAGAGAGAGAGAGAGAGAGACAGACAGACAGACAGACAGACAGAGATAGAAGGTTTAGTAATATAGAAAAGAATATTAATTAGTTGGGTGAGAAGAAAGCATATTGCGCAGTGTTTGTCGGATCGTACACAATATTCTAATTGTAAATCGATTTAAAATCGGTTTTTGTCTAAGCAGGTATTTCTATATCTCTAAATAAAATATATATAATATATATTGTATATATATGAATCAGGCGCGAGTTTATCGATGAGAGAAATAAAATATAATTTGTGGAAGAAATATCATTTGATATATATATATTCTATCGTTAGAAATATTAAATATAAGTATGGTAATATTTTAATACTTGTAATGATAAGAATAATAAGAATAATAATAGTAATGACGATGATGAAAATAATAATAATAATAATAATAATAATAATAATATAACAAGAAGAATAAATAGGGCCGATTTAAGCTTCGCTTTTTGCCTTTCGACGTTCTTTTTTTTATATTGTTTTATGCACCCTTCCAAATGTTATTATATATATTACCTCGTGCACAGACACTCGTATCGTTATCGTATTATCGCGTTATGCACTCGGTATCTCTGTCAAAAACGATCCGAATTGAATTAGTTGGCAGAAGAAATTTGATAAAGATTCATTATTTCTTTTGTTTTTTTCTTTTATCTTTGTTAAAATTTAAAGAAAGTATTATTTTTTTTTTTCTTGCATTTAGTATGATTGGTATATACTTGAATTATAGATAATAGATCAATGACTGGAAAGACTTACAGTTTTTGCACTTGCATTTCTTGATTAGTGTCTCGTCTTTAATTTCATCGTGGCATGCTTTGCAATAGAACCACGCCCTGAAAATGAAAACAAGAGAGAGAGAGAAGATTAATTAATCGATTTTCTTTTGTTAAATAATTTTTCTTGTTAATTAATCTATATATCATGAATAATAATTTGTCATTTACTTTGTTTTTCTTGGAGAAAAAAAAAAGAATCGTTCTTTAAATTAATTTTTTCGTAAGGACATAATTATTTTGTTACAAAACTTACCGCTTGACTTCGTCCGCGGATTGAGCGATAAAGAATCCCTGAGTATTTGCAGCGATTTTGGCACCACGTGGATTAATCGAGATTTTACTGTCGACACCTCCCTCGCCCTTGATCTCAATCGCCAACAGGAGCAGCTTCAGTTTCGTGAAGCACAACCTATGATACGTTTACGCGTAATATTTGTCCAGATTTTTGTTTTTCATCCAATAAAACACGTTACAAACACAAAACAACTATTAAGATATAATATGTGTATGTCTAATCTCTATTGCAAAACATCGACTAAACGATTACTTGCGAACGATATTATATTTATGCGATTAGGTTATAGGTAAAAAGCAAATGGTTCTCTACGAGGTGGCTAAATTACGTTCCTCGATTCATCGATAGAAAATCGTAGAAAATATTATATTTCTTTTTGTGAAAAAAGAAAAAAACAAAAAATAACTCTTGTTTTACTAAACTACTACGAAATTATTCTTTTTAAGAGCCACCTCGTAGATTACGTGCCACTTATACTGAACACAATGAAAATGCACTCGTCGACTTTAAATAAATGATTCGTAAATAACACGGAAAAGCGTAAGAGAGAAAGAGAGAGAGACGATCGATGCAAGCGAGTCCCAGTTTCACGATTTCTATGTACGTAATGCATGTATATGTGTGTATATGTATACGTGTATATACCTACTTAAGTCTGAAAAAGAAGAAAGAGAAAGCAATTAAAAGGATGACTCGCATAGCATCGATCGTTACTGTCATTTCGTTGTAATAATAAAAGGATAGTGAAACTTTCGCGTTGGTATCATCGATTTTTTTTTTCTTTTTACAAAATCGAAATCGAGATCATCGTGTTCCTGTGATAAAATAAAAAAAAAAAATAGAAAAAAAATTATAATGCAAAAGAAGACACATCTTTTTTTTTTCCAACGAGTTTCAATATCCGTACGACGATCACATTCGAAAGACTTTTTTTAATTACGTTCTGAGTGGAATCACTCGACTATCGATAGGGAGTCTCATACATCGTATAGACGTCTACTGGATCACAAATTTTCTCGAAAAACAAGTCTTACGTCTAGATGTCAGTGGTACACAAACTGTAAATCTTAATTTTTAGACAATTTTTAATAATTTTCATAGATTATCTTCATCAAAATGCACGTGAGAAATCTTCATGAATTTTCTATATCGAAATAATCACATTTAAAGTATAAGTTATTTCATTATTATTATTATTATTATTATTGTACTTTCTCTCTTATATTCACTGATATGAGATTTAAAACAAATGTTAAATAAGAATTTTGACATTTTCATGAATCTTATGCATAGAAATAATCTCATTCGCGAAAGGAATGAATTGTCTCTATTTTTTCGTTTTCTTTCGAAATTATAAAAACTGAGAAATATTTTTATTAATACCATCTTTACGTTCGCGGAAAAAATGTAAGACTCGGGTGAAATTTCAGTCAATAAAGAACGAAACGATGACAATTATAAATAATTTGCGCACCACTGGTCTAGACTCTCAATCCCTTCGTGATTAAAGTCGAGTCAACCCTTTTCTCTGTCACGTATGTATGTATGTATATGTATGTATGTATGTATGCATGTAGTATGTACTAGTTTCTCACATAAAACGCTACGACTTGCCATTATACTGAAACGAGCATAGATAACAACTCGGAGATCGTAAAAAAGAATGAAAGAGTAACGTCGTACTGTATACAGCGCGTCACTGTAAAAGAAAACGTAATTGCTCGTTAAAGAATTAAAGCGAGTCGTGCGAACAAAAAGTGCGAAAGATCAACAAAGTATACATATATCACGTAGCCATGTATCTAAGTATGTATATATACTTTGTATGTATGAGATTTATACGAATGAATGAATGAATGAATGAATGAACTAATGAATGTATGAATATATACACACGTATTACGTAAGTTTAAAAGAAAGAAAAGAAACGAAAAATTTAAAGAAAAACGAAATAGAAGAAATGGAAAAGAAAAGTAGAGCCCATTACAGAGAAGGTCGCTTATTATGACTTTTAAATATGCACGAAGATATATATTTTTGTATTTTTTTTATCTTCGTGTCTTAAAACACGCATTGTAAATGATCTAATAAGAAAAGGAGAACATTTTTTACTCAAATGTGAATTAGTACTCTGTAATGTGTCCTCGGGTAAATATAGTATGAGAGATAAAGAAAGAGATAAAAAGAGAGATAGAGAGAGAAAGAAAGAGAAAGAGAGAGAGAAAGAGAGAAAGAGAAAGAGAGGGAAGGTGAAGAGAAGCATTCGTCATGCAAAAAACGGGGGTGGTAAGCCACGTAAATGACATTCTTGCGAAAGCGCCATGCGAGCGAATTGAAGAAGGGGTGAGTGGTGGGGAAAGGGGGATGCAGACTACAGGAACAATTAGGAACATCGAACAACTACGACAATGGAATCGTCATGCGAACGTATAACGAAGGGTGTGCTGACATTCGTGCTACTAGTGTTACTACTATTACAACTACTACTACCACTGCTAGTAGTAATGGTGGTGGTGGTGGTGGTGGTGGTGGTGGTGGTGTCGCGTTTCTAATCTACGCTACTACTTCCTAATATCACGCTTGAGAAACTCGAGAGAAACTGCTACTGTATGCGAGGTGAACTCGTCTCAATGTGTGTGTAAAATGTTATTAATCATATAGAAGTAAGTATGTAATGCTAAATTAACGAGTAAGCGTAGAAATAAATAAATAAAGAAATCGAAATAACTATCTTACATTGTAATTATAATACATATAGGAGTGACAGACTAGTTAATTTATTTATATCTGTGCCGTGTTTATATGCTACAATTATTTCAACGTTTCACACTAATTTGCCAAGTTGTGTGTCATGGTATATAATTAATTTATTTATATATATATTTATATATATATATATATAGAGAGAGAGAGAGGGAGAGAGAAAGATAAAGATAAAAATAGATAAATAGAGAGAGAAAGAGAGAGAGAGAGAGAGAAAGAGAGCAATAGAAAGAGAACAATACAGTAATGATAATAATAAATCGTAAAATCGAATTAAGAATATATCGAGTCAAAGTATGGGGTAATACAGGACGAGTAATTTTAGGTCGATTGTAAACGGTGGTTAGGTTGGTGATTGCTGTTGTTTCTTTTGGATGGTTTTATGGAGAGCTAAAAGTTTATCTTTACGAAGAAAAAAATATACGACTTTTGATATGTGCCCAAAGTATGTATAGATAAAACAAAGCTACTACGTCTGGATAGAGAAATGAATTTTCTTATGTTAGATAAGAAAAAATAGTAATGCATACGAATGTCGTAGATCCATAAAAAATCGTTCGGCCATTGTCGAAAAAAATGTTGCTAAGATAGAATTTTATTTTTCCCTCCTATATATAAATCTAGATAGAAACGTTTTTCTCTTATTCTGATATCGAATAGATACGTAGAACATAAAACGTAGTAGATATGCGTTTACTATAAGTGTCGTTAGTTAAATCTTGTAAATTTTATTTCACGTTTTTTTTTTTTTTTTATTTAACGGTAATAATAAATTTGTTGCAATACTAATGTTATATTAGGATTGGCATGCTCGTTTCGTGCGAATTCTCCTTTCTCGCAGTACTCCGAGTCTCGATGCAAATCATTCTCGATGATCTAAGCGTAACACATCGCATTCGCCATCTAAATCTCTGTCCTTCTAAATTCTACGTAATTATTTTATAGAAATCTGATTCGAAAAACGTGAGAAAGGAAACGAGACTTTCGAATATACATTTTGTTTTTTGTAGTACATCTTAATTTCATTTACTTTAATTTATTTTTTCTTCTTTTTTTCTCTAATTATACTAATTATTTCCTTTATCACATCTCGAAGAATAATCAAATGAAATTCAGGTGTCGAGGCTCTTGTGATTATAAATAGGCGCGAATAATAATTAGAATAATAATAAATTCCATAATCCATTCGATGCACGTCACAACGAAAAGAATCTTTTATGATATTCTCTACATACATAGTAATACAGCTTGCATGCTTGTATCAAAAGAAGAAAAAGAAAAAGAAGAAGAAGAAGAAGAAGAAGTAGAAAAAGAAGAAGAATGTTCGCATTCGATAACAAAAAAATATTAAATAGTAATGCTACATGAAAATATAAAAGACACATGCCTTTTAGAAAACAAAAAATATAAAATATAAAATAAAATATTCATTGTTCACACAATAATTATTTGCAATATCATATTCGAATCTTATTCTAATGTTTCCCATTTCTGCACAAAATTCCACCATTCGCAACCCTCCTATCTCATTTCGTTAAAAATCTAATCTAATATTTCGAAAATTTACTTTAATACGAGAGAAATCAAAAGATGTTGACACGAAGAAAGTTGAAACTAAACTGCGAAAGAGACCACTATGTTCAAATAAACGTATCAGAATGAAACATAATAAATAAAATTGAATATAAACATTGTTTAAGTGTGACCATGCTCGTATGTATTTTTTTTTTCTTTTTTAACTCGAGAATAAAATAATTCAATATATATTTCTATACAATACAATGAAATTGGTTATCCTAATTACTCGCAAAAATTACATATATCAGCACACGTTTTTTTTTATTTTTATTTCGGCAACGTATCATAAAAATATCGAATCGAAAAATAAAAATGAATACGAATGTTTAACGAGATATTATTACTTATTACGTTAATGCAATTTAAACAGTATTAATGTAGATTAAATCATATATTTTACTAACGAATATATATATTAATATAGAATATTTCAATTTACTAATGAAATCATACAATACATTCGTAATTACTGATTATTCTCCAAATTAGCAATCTCACAAACTGTTATGATGTTAACATCCACCCAATTTCAAAATAGATTTTCTATTTAAATAAGACAATTATTTTATATGAAAAAAAAAAATTAAAACGTATTATCGAAACAATGTTTTTAATTATAGATTCGATTTTTGTATATGTGTGTGTATAATATAATATCTCGTTTTAATACTAATGTGTACAAATTTTTATTTTATTGTAAGACACATTGGTATTAAAAAAGAAAAAAAAAAAACATATTAATCTAATTCATACTACATAAATATATCTTTCTG